TGACTGAACTAATGAGTCACTAAAGCAATGGCGGACCAACTTTTCTGATCGAGTACGATCGAGCACGTAATTATTAATTATGAAATTTCAACAACACGATACGATAACATCATTTAAAAATACGATTCTTATTTGAATATTTCGAACAATGTACTTTTTTTCAATAAGTATATCCGGCAGCATTTACATTTGTTAACGAGATAGATCGGAAACAATGAAAATATAAACACTATCCGTGCAATTAGTATGTTGCAACTTCGTAGAGGCCAAATATTAAGCAGCTTATACCTAGGAAACAACGTCAGCCTCAAGAAGTCAATGGAAGATAAAGAATACATACATCAAATAAACTGAACATTATTTTAAATTCGGATGTATCGTTTCAATTAGCCTGAAAAAATATTACTTTATTTGGTCCAGCAAGTTGTGCACTGCTGCGCTAAAGTAAGAAAAATACCATTTATAATCTTTATAATCTTTGCTTCATCATTATAAAATTGCTTCGATCGGATAGATGAGATTCATGCGATAAAAATGATACCAAACACGATCATATTTTAATTATTCAGAGCTAGACGACTAATATTCAACAACCGAATATTAAATATATCCGGCGAGACTAATTTCACAATGCCTGAGAAGTTGTCACAGCTCGGTCCCGAACCTGCGACAATCTCTCAGACAATACTAGATTTTCCTGAATAAAGGCTTGCACAATTTCGGGAGGGTGGAACCCTCAGTATATCGGCGACGAACATCAAAGTATCTGGGATACACTAAATAATGATCATTTTTCCGCGAACGTATCTACTTGATATGCCCAATTGTCGAAACGTTATATAGCTATCATATTTCTATCGTCTCGTTCGACGATTAACAAGAACGAACTGTTTCAAAGAAACGATACTAAGAGTGTAACTCGAAAATAAAATGTCTCATAATCTACCGAACATGGATTCCATTACACGCCACTGAAACGCGTAACGTTACCATTTAATCCTATACAGTATATAATATAATGATGTCGTTAATTATAATAATCATATCGTAATCTTAATTATCTCTGTAATTTCAACGTACGATCTACTTAATTCTGCCATTACAGTGCACAAAATGATTAGTACGTGTGTATCTATACGTATTCGTATATCTATATACGCAGATATATAGATAGCTCTGTACAGTAACATTACAATAATACCACTTATGGCTCTGCTCGTGAGTCTTCCTCCGATATCTCTAAACCTTCGTTTTGGTGTTTCTCATCGAATGCAACACACACCGCGATACATATCGTACAGAACAATTGGTACGTATCGATTCGACTGTTATCCAGAGAGTAATCTAAGTCACGAGCTGTGTGGGGTGTTCCGTGTGAATAATCGATCAAGCGAATTGTATCGAAAAAGGTACGTTCCTCGACCGGCATCGTGCAACAAACTATCAAACAACAAGCGGACATTGTACGGCCCACGAAGTCGCGTATCTCGCTAAAATTTATCATAAAACAAATTCATGTTAAATCGAACAACAGTACCGAGTCTCGTTAGGCCCTTTAAACTATCGAAGAGGATCATCTGAATTTCGAGAATCGCACGATCGCCTTCCGAGTGGAACAAAGGCAGTCTTTCGTGGTCCTTCCTGTTCTTTTTTTTCTCTCTCTCTCGATAAAACCGAACACGAAGGGCGCAGTGACACGAGAAAAGCGAGCCCGTCGTTGTCGATGCTCTCGTAAAAATCGTTATCTACCCAGGTAGACCTTCGACGTTCTGCTGTAACGAAAAATAATATTTTCTTTTCTGTAATTGCACTTCGATCGCTACTCTCGATATTCCGCGCGTCACTGTGTAGAGCCATTCGAAGAATCGAACTCGCCACTAGACGTGAATGCTCGTTTACAAGCTCTCGATTGCCGACTGTCGAACCGCGGGGGACCATTACACGTGAATGTTCACGCGTGAACGCGCGACATTTTTTTTTTTAGGGAAACTTGCGCGAGTGAAACGGAGCAACGTCAAATCACATAAACGCGAACCCATCTGTGGAATCTCTTTAACCATACGCGAAAGCAAATTGAAAAAAATAATGAAAAGATGAATAATGTTCAAATATATTACATATCTTTTGGGTTCGAATATCCAGAAATAGAATTATCTTTTATAATTTTCGTAACAACATTTCATAATTTCATTATTTCTGTTTTACAGGAACCCACGGGTAATGCGCCGCTCTTTGTGATTCTCGCGACGAAAGCCGGCGCGTTCTTTCGTTTACACGATTATTTTATTTGTACTTTTAAGTAGCACATATATAGAACAATATTCTTTCTAATTGCATTAAGCTATTATATTATAAGCTTTGCTTGTTTCAATATGTTACACAATATTTCTAGCCATAATCCATATGGCAGTTCGTCCGTAATATGAAAATAAGGTTATTTGGAGCACTATCACAAATAACGTGTTACTTCATCCCGTGATTGCTTCGTTTCTGGAATACAATTATTCCGTTTCGCAAAAACAATTTTGATAGTTAATATTTGTGTTCGAGATAATGGAACAAGTAAACACCGACAGTTCGTACGCAAATATTTAAACTGTACGTGTATATTATTCCGAGATTATAATTCGGTGTAGAGAAATGTTCAGAATTAACTCTCACGTAGCCAAACGATAATTGCAACTTCATTTATTAAACCACGAATTTATTATCGGTACGCTTTTTTTAAATTATAAAAGCAATGCAACGATTTCGCAATTTGACAAATAATATTATTTTTTCGAATAAATATCTGTCGTTTTAATTCAATGTGGAATTGTTAAATTTGTGCTTAAAATGACTCAAATTCCGCAGAAGGGTCAACTGTATTATATAGGATATATTACATCAAAATCTTTTTAATTACGAGATATGTGTAATTTTGGGATTCTCAAACTTTTATACATCGATAACCACGAAGTAAAAAGAAATTAACGTAATAAAAAAAAAACAAATTTAGTCTCCGCAAAAGATTTTAGAGAATTTTTGTAAAATGGAAAAAATTGTACAATAATTTCAGTTAATCCCACAGGCAGTTAGAAGAAATATCAAGTACTCCGTCCCCCTCAAAGTTCCCTTACAATAATCTTATCCAAAATTATATCTATGTACATTTATATTTATATACCCATATATAAATATATATGTAAATTATATATAATTCAAAATATTCGTAATATTATACATTTATATATAATTATGAATTATATATAAATATTACGACATTATCGTACAGTAAAAGTGTTTTCCGGATCATCGAAGATGCTACGCAAAATTCGAAGCACGTTGCTTCGCGAGACGCGCATGCGTCTGATTACAAGAACGTGTTACACATCGTTATATTCCTCCTTATATACACGTACAATGTAACTAAATTGCCAAGCACGGTCGAGGAGCCTAGGAAACAACAAGTTCCTCCGTAATACAATAAAAAGCTCCTGAACGCCCGACGCGTGATATACATCCATTATACATTGTTAACGATATACGATTACTGTTATATCAATTAATTCTGATCCGGTATCAGTTAGTGTCAGTTTAGACCTATTCAGAGATAGATTAGAGTAGAGGGTAGAGTAGAGAGAGAGAAGAGAGTGTATTGGATTCGCGGCTCAGGATTTTCATGCAAAATCCTCGAAGCATTTCTACGCTATATCACATCCTATGTCTGAGCACGTTGTTTTTTCTTTTTTTTGTAGTTAATATTTCATAGGGATCAGCTATGCGTGTATGTATATATGTATATCCTCGTACGGTATTTAATATTAACGGCTAAGATGGAACTAAATACGGTGAACATCTTAAGAGGTAGAGAAACAGTGACTGTATTTTACGATACTTAAAATTATTCGGTATTAACACAGTTTTGTCGCCGATTCGAAGATCGATCAATACACGACGAAACGAACGTTCGACGATCTTTTCGACTTTTTTTTTTTTCCCAACAGCATGACATTTTTGTTTTATGTTTTTTATTTTTAATATTTTTAGTGTTTTTTTTTTCCTTTTCTTTTTTGTTTGCCCCTTGCTCGTCGCGAGCGAGACGGAAACAGAATTTGGAAACGAATATCTTTACGCAATCGATGAATTCACCGTGACTAATTGTAATACAAAACGTTTCACATTCGCAACGGAATCCCGTCTAATCGAAACTACCTTTGATCACATTATAGGGTTCTGGTAGACTTTCCAGGATAGATTCACTGGATACAATTATATTGAAGATATATAACTCTTGTCTTTACACATCTACGAGCTTCTAGCGCCCTCTGCTTTACAGCGTCGAGAGCGAAACAGAGTTAAAAATTTCTATATACCTTTTTCCTTTATACATTAGACTCGGAAATTTCTTGTACCCCTCTGTACTATCCGATCGGATAAATCTCATTGTACAATTACACAATGCACGCCCGTTAACTCTGCTGTTCGTAAAAGTATATTTCTTTTCTTTTTTTTCTTTTTTCTTTTAAACGGTTAATCTTTTCACGGAGGAGGGGGGGTTAGAATAATATACACGGAATACCACGAAGCAAGTTACACGTGTTACAAATATACAGAGATACTCCTTTAATCGTATTTTCTACATAGCATTACGCAACAACGCAACGCACACGTATCGCGTGCTCTTATTTCTGTATATATGTTATGTGCACGTAATATTCATAATGATATACACTCTTCGAAGGCATCAACGCTGTTAATTCAATTTCTCGGACCATGCAAGAGAGAGAGGGAGAGAGCGTGATAAAGAGAGCAAAGAAAGAAACATAGCGGTTACGCGGAAGAAATTTGTTATCGGAAACTCTATCGAGAAAAACAGTAAGGACATCGAATTAGTGTTCATTCTCAACCCTGAACAGTCTACCAATCTACTTGCGCAACTTAAATAAGAGTACCCGTCGTAATGGTGGTTAAGGGTAAAGACTCCGTTATAGAAAATTATGGACAGCAAGTCTATTTACTTGATCTTGAATGCATCCATCAGCTCGTTCACAGCGGCGTTAGCAGCGGCTTGCGTCGCGGCTTGCGTCACCCTCTGCTGTAGACCACCCCCACGACTAAACATACACCACGGACACTCGGATTTTACCATAAATCACACTTGTTTTTTTGTTTGCAATGCCTTAATAGTATACTATACAATAATCCCCGCTTGTATGTCATCAAAATCCGCTGGTTTGCATACATTCGGGTTACGTGCCGCTTCTCATCGCATACATCGACCTATCTTTTATCCTGAAACGAGGTTTGGTCTCATATTTCAAGTTCGGCGCACGAGTCTCGCATTACATACGGTCGACGATCGAAACTTCGAAGCGAAAATATTAACATTTCTTTATTATATTTTCATGAATATGTTGCCAACTGTTTGGCGAGAAAAACGACTCCAAACATAACCTCGTTTTCGATTGTTTTTAATTTCATGTAATCATCATTAATCATGTAATTAAAAATGAACCAGATAAGATCGTGTCTGAATTCACTTTCATCCGGGAAAATCACTATTTTTATGAAAATATAGTGAAAAATGTACAAATTTGTATTTTAACAGTAATAGCGGCGGGGCTGTAATTGTTGCTTTTAAGCGAGTGACATACAAACAGGGTTTACTGTATACCTCGATTGATATAAATTCGACCTATATTGTAATGTACAGTATGTCCAGTTCCAATGTGCAACACGCAACTGTTTCCCAAATGTTCGAAGTTTAAAAAAGATAGTTTCAATCAATCTTGCCTGTACTTTCGCCTTTGTAAAACGATCACACTAATAAATAAATTATATTTACCACACGTTATGTACCACAAAATATTTGTACAATTTTAAACTAAAATCTAAGAACGAGGGCATTTCTCAAACGAGATAAGCGCTATAAATAACCTCCTTCAGGATACTGGCGCATACGTGTACATTTAGAGTTCAACTTATTTTAAAGTAAAATAATATCACAAGATTTATATATGAGTAAATATCAATTAGAATTTTAGTTTACTTTATACAAAACAAATTACTGCTAATTACTGCTCACAGTTAATAAATTCTGATGACCAATGCATAATTAGTTGTTTCTGCAATACAAAATTTTTTTCCCAATTGTAAGCCTCACCAACAATACACACTAATTGTTCGACTAAAAATTAACCATACAGAATTTAAACACTACAATATTTTAATACAAAATAAACTGCTACACGTCGAAGACTAACGTTAATTAGTATTAAACACATCACATTAGTATTAAACACGCTGAGAGAATTTTTAATACTTCGAACTTTTCTAAATGAAACCATCTTACTTTTCAAGTGTATCATGTCGTGAAAATACCATGGTTTCACATAGAAAAATTGAAAGCGATATTGAAATCTCCACAAGTAATAATATTATATATTCCTATTTAAATCAAACAGCTTATTTTTGCACCTTCGATTGTTTGAGAAATAATTGCGTGTATATACTTAAACCGGACATACTCTACACTATAGACCGAACGTCCTAAGTATGTATCGTCTTTGAACACGTGGATCGAAAAAACGGTGAACACGTACAACGCGGAATTGTCATGTTACGATTGAATGTTGCGAACTTCCTTTAGAAGTAAATAATGTTTAAATGCAGGCACCGACATATTTGTCCCTAGTTAACGATTGACAAACAGTTTCAAATTGATGTCAATACAGTTCAACGAATTAATAATACAGGAACAAAGCAACGGTATTAGAAGGTTTAAAAGCTTTCAGACGTAACATGTATTGCAAGACCATCGTGTATCGTATATTACATTCTCATACAATTCTTATGTTAAATATGCCTCATAAACACTTGTGATTGTATCTCATGAGCGGCTGTTTATAATTAAAATGTCATGCTGTTAGTAAGCGAATGAATACTTCTATTCACTTGCGATAAGAACCCAAGACCATCTATTTCACAACGTTTTTTAGTTGTATATACAGGCTTCATGTACAATTCCGTCGAACTAATTTACATTGAAAGAAATATATCACTCTATCTAGTTTAATTTGTTACGAATGAGCGCAATTTTGTATCTAGTGATTTTCCACTAGTACCGATTAATCGTTATCCATAGACAATTAGGATTTTAATTAGAGGTGTGCAAACGTTCATGTACGAAATCGTGTAAACTCCGTTAGGATGACTCGGAAAAATGAGCACAAAAGCTTCGGAATCTTGTTAAAGGGCAAAACACGATCGAAATAATGAGAAATGATTTCTTGGTCATTCTTACGAAATAATTGGACCTCTCGAAAACAAATGCGGGCCATTGGTACGGATCAGATGCGTAGCGGATGAAGATATAAGTTGCTCAAAATCATTCGGAGCTCTTTTCGGTCACTAATTAATGCAAACGCTACAAATTACACACCCCTAATTAACAGTGATCTCATAATCTGTAATATATGCAGACAGAACATGTAGCATTAGGAAATTGTATTTCGTGTAAAATGTACACTGACTAGATGCAATCGATATATGTATATATATATGTATTGATTAGTAGCGAATAGGCGAGTTAGTGCGAAGACTTATTGTCGGCGCCTGCAATAGAAAGTGAAGTTAGCACCAAAGCCCCAATCACACAAAGCTTATATGGAGAAGCAACTGCAAATTTCCATTTTGAATACTCTCAGCGAAGATTAAATCAAAAAGGACCTTCACCTCGTTACAAAGACACAGGACTATCTTGACACAAACTGGCAGAACGTTGTTGTGCAAAAATTTCTTACGTGTAAAACTTGACAATTGAAAGATACTTGACGGTACAGAGTGCTTCGAACTATGCATCTCTTTAAACGTTTTTCTGTACTGAACTCCACAAGGTAGATTCGTTGTTAAATTATACGTGACTGTGTTTTTGTTGTACTTACGATGGTATTAGAGGAGGAGGTAGGCCAGGCGTAGCACGCGACGGTGGTGGTCCACCGGGTCCAGGTCGGTTAGGAATGGCCGGTGCTGGCCGGGCGCCAGTCGGAACCGGCGGCGGTGCTCGAGAACTAGAAAGAGGTGGTGGCTGTGTCACTCCACGTCTTGGCCCACCAGGTGATGGTGGTGATAACCTGTAACAGATTCGTTGCAACATTAATAAAGAGTTCACGTAATATATTAAGACACCAGACTTAAGACTGTAACAGGTTTCAAACATCAATATTGTTTTCAAATCATAATCGATGTACACTGATAATAAGAAGAAATGTTTTATACATATAAGTAGATCATTGCAAATAATATGTAGATATGTAAATCGAATATTTCTTTTGTTTCAATCAAGTTCTCGAGAATTGATAAGGAAATAAGAGGCGGGCGTAACTTACCGCTAATGTAGTAAATAATGATTATAAGAAAGAAATTTTACTGATCTCGAAGTGCTCCTTATAGCCAAGTTCAACTGTATTTTAATCGCGAATACTTTTGTATCATATTCTAATAAATAAGTAAATAGACACGTACACGTAAGCATAAAGTAAATTGCAGGAGGCTCATTTCAAAATAAAAATACAAAGCACACGACGTGTATATGCAGATTAAAAAAAAAAAATTAAATTCTTTCAATTGAGATAAGAAAAAAAGAAGAAGAAGGAAATAGGTAATTAGTAGAAACATAGTGGCTCTTACCCAAGACTGTTTCAACGGTGTTCAAGTGTATGTGGCAAAAGCAGGCAGTACAAGATTGAAAGATACCGAATTAGTTAAATGCATAAGCGACAATGAAAATAATAACATAATTGTTACCTTGGATTTTCGCCAGATGCCAACCAATCATTTTTCACTGGCGGCGGCACGGGAGTGGAAACTGTTGCCATCGAGACGTCTCCAATGATACGAAGCGCCTCCTTGCACGCGTGATACATACGCAACATTTCTTCACGTTTTTGTGCTTCCTCGGGCGATTCCTCCATCATCGAAGCCTGCAACATACATCGAATAATTTATTAGTAAACTAAACAACACAGGTAGATTGCAAAACGAACTCAAAATCTATTTTAAATTTCTCTAAATTGTTACCTGATCACTGCTTGCATAGAGATGCGCTAACAGCTCTCCATTGATGAAGTCCTTTGCATTATTAATGATCAAATGCATAATTGACTTTGGAACCAGATCGCGAGTAGTTTTTGTAACAATCTTCATGTATGAATCAACTAAATTCCTAATGGTTTCCACTTGACGCTCCAGTTGAGGATCCATTGATGACTGAGCCTCTGATCCACCCTATAAATAAGTGATTCACAAGTTTTACATATTAATGGTTACAACAATAAAAGTTAAAATTGTATATTTACAGTTTGTTGTGATACGTAAAAATATTTAAAAAAAATACACTTGCAATAATTTAAGTGTTATTGATATTACGTTCAAATAGAAACGCTGCGAGAAAAATTATAATATTTTTATAAACAGCACATTCGTATTTTAGTGGCGTTATTGTACTCGTAATTAAAAAGCAGAGTCGGGTGGAGGTGTCCTATATTTGTGTGAGTGTCCAGTATTTTGTATGTCTACAAGATCCTACGATCGTACAAACCTCGTATCCTTCCTTTAGTCGATTAGAGGCAAGAAGCATTCATTGCAATGCAAAAATTTAATTAATTCTTTACGAAATCAATAAACAGACACAAATTGTGCAATTCATATTCGTGTTACAACATGATACCATTAAAATAAATGAAAGTGACTTTGCAAATACACACGAGTTGCATCGTATTTTCTAATCAGTTTTCTAACAATTATTGGCCGCTTAGTAAAAAGCAAAAAAATTTACTATAGATTTTGGAGTTAGCTCTTTTCATTATAAAGCGTCTAATTATGGAAATAAATTTAAAATATCACACAAAAATCTTTTCAACTATGATGTTCTGTAAAAATATCACACCACCACACGTTTAAGAATATATAAGCAAAAAATTTTGATTTTCTCGTTTCAACTCACCCGCTGCTTATCCTATAATAAATCAAAATAATCTTTTCTAAACATAATAAAAGGTATTACAATTTATAATGATCATCTCGAGCTTCTACAGATATAAATAAATAAATAACTTTTATTCCTGAACGAAAAGAAACGCAATACGTTTGTACATTTTAATTGAGTTCATTTGATCATTGAATATTCTGCAATGTTTCCTGAAGTACAATAGCTATTTGAATATACAGAGTGCGTCACGTAATGGGGACAATTGTGCCTTCTGTCTCATTGAAACGTAAACGTTTTATTTAATACTGTATGGTAATAACATAAATAGATACAATGAATTAAAAAACATTTGTATGTAACAGCACCGAGTCATACCACATCTCAATAGCATGATGCATTCTGTATACGTCATACATTTACTTTTGTAATAATATTGAGGAATCTTACCTCTCCTTCTCCATTGGTTTGCTCCGTTGATTTCTCAGGGTATACTCCAGCTCTGAGGAAAGAGGCCTTCCAGGAGTCAACGTCATCCTGTGTTTCACAACTCAATTCAAGCTGTTTGTAATCCTTATAAACATTTCTGCCCTCTGGATTAAACAAAGCGAACAAATGTCGCCGAGACATGAAGCCTTGTTCCAAATCGCGCAATTTCAATCCATCTAAAGGTAGCATGTACTTCTTTTCGCGTTCCTGAAGAAAAGAATAACAAAACGCGATTAGTATCGGTATATTACCAGTCATAATAATAATATAATTTCATGCATGCTAATTAAAAAAAATTTACTGTGTTTATTAGTTAAACAACCTAATTAGGTTTTGGTTTTTTTTTTTAAAGTTTTGTAGATGTTATATAGAATAATATCCAATATTATAGTAAAGTATTTTCTAAAATATTGCAGACGCGTTAATTTGATTGGTTGTGAAAACTAATAAACAAACTAAATGTTAGTATTGATGTTATAATTAAAATCTTATAATAATTGTAATTATAATTACTTCTTCGTCTTTGAACCATGAAATACTCTCTGATGTTAAGACAAACCAATAATCTCTGGAACCACCTTTCATTATACCAAGATTATGAATGCACATGTACCCTTTACGAATAACTTGATTGCCTAATGTGTGGCGGCCGGATTTAACAGCATTTTCTGAAGACTGTTGTGCACTGTAACACAAGGAATAATGTATAATGAAATGCCAAATAGAAGAAAATATTTTAATACCCATGTATAAAAATTCATTATAACAACTTGCCACAAAAACTTGTTAGTTTATTGTATAAAAAGATCTAGCAGGGTAAAAACCTAGCAACTGTTCATTAACTTACACAAACGTTCACACAATTTCAAATTTAATTTGCCGCTAAATAAACTGTGAATTATATTAAATAATTAAAATTTTCAAAAAACATGTGCACTTACAATATAAAAATCATCAAAAACGAAACATGACAAAAGAATAACAATGTATACAGGATAATCACATGGGCAATATATATATATTTTTTTTTTATTTTATAATTGATCATAATAAAACTGACAGAATTTCAAAAAAATGTAATTTTACCTTTTAAATTGTTTTTAATTGATATATATGAAAACTATGACATACAGCCACACAAATTCCATGCATATACTCTTTCATACAGCATTAAATGTCACATTTGTATATTTCTGGATGTGCACATCATTTGTAACATGAAAATACACACAATATCATTACTACTTAATCAACACTGCGGTAATTTAGGAAATCATAATGCATAAAAAACTGCATAAGCGCATGTTACATTCATTATGGAAGAAAGTCAGAAAATGGTGAAAAATTTGATAGTGCTGTATGAAATATACAATTTGGAGCATTTACGAATGATCGAAGCAATGAATGGTTCATTTGGTAGTATATTTGTTTTGTGCAAATATATACAAAAAAATTAAAATAATTAAATTTCTCATAAATTATGACCATGTTCTACACTATGTAAAATAAGTATAAAAAATGTAGCCAAAGAAAAGTGAATGTCAATTTATACGTAATAGTGTGTAATGTTTGGCAAGATTTCTGTTCATTTTCATTAATTATATTTCCATTTTTCTCGATATACGTTAATTATAAAGGACAGTATTTATAAGATTATTAATTGCAGATATACACACGTATGAACACAATTTTCACAATTGCACTATATAAAAAACTAATTATTAATAAAACGTTAAACAACGAAGAATGGATTTTGATTTATTTTTTAAGGAAATCAAAATTTACTAAAGTAATATCGTCTTATATTTTTTTTTGCTGTATGGAATATAAAAATGAATTGGAAATCACTATGTTATGGATTATATTTATAAAAAAAAAAAAAGAAGAAAAAAAAAGAGGATAAAACCGAATGCTAGAGAAAGTAAAAATAAAAAGTAAGCTTATATAAAAAAAATAATGAAGAGCGTGAAAATGGAAAAGGAAGAAAAATGTAGTGTAAATCTTTGTTCCAATGTACTTTATAATTCTTACCTTGCATTATGGCTACTGGCTGCCGCGCTGCCGATATAATTAAATTATTTCTTTAATTGTGAAGTATTAAGAATTAATGAATGGAAACAAATGTCAGGAGATGTGTATATGCTATGTTATTGAAGGAAAGACATACATATGTTAAATTTCTATAACATAGAATTTTAATCAGGGCAGTATTAATAACGTATATACATCACGAGAGTTAATCATATTGAAGACTAATTAGCCAACAATTAGGGATATTAATTAATATTAAGTATGTCTTGCCTTTAATGATATAAAAGGTTGTGTTACAGCAGAAGTTATAATACTATGATATTTTGATTCAATTATTCTTAATTGTACAATAACATAAGACATAATATACAAATGTTTTTTTAGGATTCGCGCGTTATGTTTCAAGAAATGAAAAGTCAAGGTAATATATATTACTATAGAGATGAAATGAAAATTAAATTAAACCTACGAGAAATGTTCACGATATCTCATTTCCAAATTGCTTTTTTTTTGCATTTTATTTGATAATTTAAATTTGGAAAATAAATCATGTTTTAAATACGTAAAATAGAAAAATTGAACGAAAATTATGTTCGTTATATAGAAATAAAGAATTAAGATATAGAAGTATATATACTTATTGCAAAGAGGAAACATGTGAGATACAATTTAATATGGCTATGTATATATATATACATACATACATACATATATATATATAGATAGATATGACACAGAGTGTCATACAAGTATACACGAAGTAGACAGAACAGCAGTAAATTCTACTATTGATTAATGATACAAAAAACGTGTACCTTAGCCTTGAAGGACAAAATGGACTAACAATATTTGCTAGTTTTAAAGCTTGCTATGTGAACTGACTTTAGCAAAGCATGCACGTTTGAAATACACCGTATGAACCCGATTACGAGCATCATATCAACACAATTAAGCGTGTAGTATTAAAAGTGATTTGAATTACGATGTAAAACTTTATTATAATTTTTTCTCATTATTTTTATCATTGTTTGACTCAGGAAAATACGGTATAATCATGTATCATATATGGATATATATTTATTATAAACTCAAATATATATCGGCATATACAATACAATTTGCATCAAAAAAAAGAAAAAAATTTAGCAAGCAGGCTAATGTTACTAACTGTATATGTAATCTGTGAGTTTTTTTTTTTTTAAGTATCATTTTCTTTTTGACTTTAGGAAATCTAATGTAAGATTTCTCAACAGAAACCCATGTTTTAAATAAATATTGTGTTCATATTAGTAAAGCATATTATCATCATGTGAGCTATACTATGTGTTGAATTTACATTTGTCATGCAATATATTCATTGCTGCAAGTCAGAGAATTTCTTCCGGAGATTTTAACGCCCTACAGAGTAATCGACCAGAAGTAGAACAACAAATTATCTCAAATGTTAAAGGTACAAAACAATACTGGAAAAAAGTTACACGAACAAAAGTCATTTTTACTCAGATTCATAGAAATCGTCAATATTTTCTCAAATGGAAAATTAAATCTGTTAGAATTGAAAGAACGTTTTCCTTTCCAATCTTCAAGAAAGAAAAGTATTTTAATTAGGCCTAGAACACCAAACTCTGAAGTCCAGTAGTCCCCCAGTCTATTTTCTCATATTCACATCTTTCATACAGAGTAACATTTGAGTTCCTACATCTACTAGGGGAAAATGTTCGTTGTACCAACATTCGGGATGATACCACATATTACGAAAAGCTTTTGGTTTGAATCTGGCGATTTCTTTTCAATTAACTCAGAAACGAAGAGATTAGAAAATTTTATAAAGCGTTTAATATTTATGAAAACGCTTCTTTGTTAAAATAAAGTGTTGTTCGATAAGTATTGTGACGTATTTGTCCTGGCGAATCTAACCTCGAATTGATATTAACGACCGTCTGATGTAATCAATTAATTAAAAACAATTTTATAGAGATATAATGTATTTATACTTTTTATATATACGCGCGCATTAAGCATTAATTGAGCTAAAGAATTAATAATGAAGGGTAGCTATATGTACGTTCTGTTTCTGGTGGACTCCCTTGCATAATCATACAATTTTTTATTACTTTTGTCTCGCATTAAAAAGATCCGTATAAACGTAACTGGCGATCAATACTCATATGAAATTTTATTGTTAGATATCACGAAAAAATAGTACCATTACTTTGAATACTTTAAAGATCAACGACACATTTTTCAAACAAGGTTCCCAACATTGGTGGATACGAATACATTAAAAACTATAGCTGCAGTCATGAATGTAAAAGAACAACATATAGCGCTAAATGTGCGATCTTCAAAAATAAAATTTGTCTATCATATTGTTTACTCTCTTGATTTTGCTGAGTAACTACAAAAAACATATAATTTAACATATAAATAACTTACTTGGCAAAACCAATGAAATCTTCGTGATTTGTATTCATATAAGCCAGTTCACAATCAACCAAAAGTACCAACTGCTCCTTGCACATCTGTTCTCGTTGCCTAATGTGAGTGGTTATGATACGTTCCGTTTCTTCTCTCAATCTAGGATAACGCGACATCTGCGGCAGAAAGTGAACAACTCCGTTAAATATACGGATCGTTTAAAATTTCACGGACAAGTAATAAATTTACTTACCCTGTCCGTGCAAATGCGTACAACGTTACTGAGTTCCTGCACAACTAAGTCTACACATTTTAGACTGGGTTCTTTGAGTCTATTGATTTGTTTCTTGACTATTGCCTCGAAGGCCATGTCGGGAGTAAACAGCCCAACCCTGATACCTATGACATTACACGGGTGTCAATAATATTTTTAAACTGAAACGGGTATCGATGTATTTTTATATACGCGTACGTAAACAAGTTTTGTTTATTAAACTTTCCGATCAATGATTTGGGTCATCTTCGATATAATACTATATTTTAGAATAAAAGTGTAAAAATAGTAGCAGTGATTTACCATGAATGTTCCTAATGGCGAAAGCAATCTCTCTTCTCAATTCTTTTTCATCAAATTCCATTTTAACTATTTCGAATGGGAAACGTTCGTGGAATAATCTGTTTATTTTAGCGCCTCCGCTGAGTTCATTTGTATTGATTTGCGCGGATCCGGAGCCTTCTATAGTCCTTTCAAAATCTGACTGGAGCTGCTGTATCATCCTTAAAAATAGTTTTCTTTCAATCGACGTGTAGACGATCATTCGATAATAATATCAATTATATGGGCAGAGAGTCGCAACATTTAACATTACGGAATTATAAATTGAATTTATAATTCACTCGTATGTTAAAACTCCCATCGTTAGTGAAAACAATTGTTAATTTCCACTCTTTAGTAGATTAAATGAAAATATACAGTGCATTAAAATTGTCATGCAAATGATACACACATTGTTAAAAAAAAACAATGAGATAAATATAATACCTACATATACATTTGACATGATCTGAAAAATAAGAAAATGCTCTAAAATGTCAAGACCCTCCACCCATAATGTGCTTTAAAAGAAAACTATAAAAGGTAAGTTTAGTTGGTAAAAATTATATTTATAAATACATTACAAAATGCGAGACATAAAATTTGTTATATGTATATGCATTCGCTATTTGTAATTTTCTTCCCGTTTATAAGTGTAAAGTTTTATTAAAATTATATTAAATTAAACAATCAAAATATTAAAGAAATATTAAAGAAATTCTAATTATAATAAAATTCATCACATATGTTAAATTACATTCATAGAAATACTTACTGTAACATAGCTTTTGTTTTTATGGCGGGATCATCGGGTCTAAAATGTTTGTATTGGTCAACATCCTTTTCCAATGTAAGCAACTGTTTTTGTAATCTGTCCCTCAATGCTGGCAAAGTGTCCCTAATATGATTCGTCAATTGTTGGTTCAAAACTCGTTGCAAATACGGCGTTCCTAATCTCTCAGCTAGATGCCGATAAGATGGATGGCTAATTACATAAAACAACGTCATATATATTTTGTTAAATCATTCGAAAGGAATCATTGAGACTTGACCCCTTCGGAATTGAGAGACTTTAATGCCGGGTTCACATTGGCATAAGCTACAACAATGTCTTGAATATTGGCCGATCTTTGAGACCGAAAGAGAGATCAATGCTGAAACTGACGTCTTCGCCATAATTATATATGCGCGCTAAGTTTGACGCAATTTCGAGGGGGCAAGCCTCAACGTTCCCTTGCAAGTTAACAATTATTCTTTATTAACGATTTATACCTTAGGAAGAATTTTCTTTCGGCGGCTAAAGCATTTTTTATATCTTTTCGACCTTCTATATCTTTCTGACTTCTGTTAACGACACCAATGTAACCTCGCCTCAGAGGTAGCAATTTATTTTCCAAAATATCTCTTGCGTCGGTACCATCATCCATAAGATCCAATTTTGTAATAACGCCAATAGTACGCACACCTTAAACAGTTTATAATGCAAAAATATCTGTATACTGTTATTCCTCGAAAATCCCGAAACTTTCGGGAACCCGACCATCGGGTTCACGAACGCTTCTACTTATATTAAATTTGAAATATGATTAATAATATACCTTCAGGATCAACTTCTTTAGCAAGTTTGAGAGCATCGCTATTTGCTAAATCAGTGTTTGCTGGAGTTACCGCCAATATAAGACAATTTTCTCTTTTGATGAATTGGAAAATCATGGCTTTGATTTGAGCTTCTATATCTGCTGGTTGATCTCCAATTGGTACTTTTGTGAGACCAGGCAAGTCAATCAATGTTAAATTCAGAACTGCCAATAAAAAACATCGATTAAGTATTTATTCATATATATTTATACAAAGTATGGTGATAAATATATTTACCATTAGGCGAATATACTCTCAAATTGATGGGTATGTTGGAAATACCCTTGTTACTGCCTGTTACCCTGTCTGTTTCTCCTTCAATTTCCTTCCTCACTTCATCAAAGTCCACAAACTTTTTACCCTTACAGTGTAAAAACTCAGCAGTTTCTATAATCAAGAAATAAAACATAAAATAATTTGCAAAATTTCTATAATACTTTCTTTTTTAAAGTGCATTTTCAAATAATATAACGCTGACTAAATATTTCTAATAGTTTACATTATACAATGAAACTAGCAACGGGTTCAATTTCCTACTTATCAGAAGTTCATTGTCGCAGGAAACATGATAATTTGGTAGATAATGCTTAAGAAATGCTTTATCAACTTTATGTGATAAACAATGCTTTCATAAAACATACAAAATCAAGAAAGTTTTGCATTGGATTAATATACTTTTTAGAATAAAATATCATATACTCTTGTTAAAATATATAAAAAGGATTTTATATAGTTTGACCTAGTTAGAAACCTAGCTACATTGAAAAGTTTTATTTCCAATAAAATAAATCACTGGAAGCAATTCTAACTCTGATTATTTCATACTCATACTTTAAATTTTATTTATCTGTTTATCTGTGATGACTCACCAGTTGTACTATTAATCAATTGTAAGATAAGCGGTCTTCTGGTTACAATGCCTGATCCTCTAGGTAAGAAATCCCTGAAAAAAAAAATTATCATTGATCTCATAATTATTATAATTTGAAAATATTAAGAGGATTGTTTTGCAGAATATATATTTAATTCTAACATGACAATATTCACAAAATATAAATTTAAAAATCATAATTGTTATCATAAAATAGCGCATTACTTTTATTTTAGTTACGAGTTTAATGGTTGTATTTTTTATATTCGTCTCAATTACAGAAATGAATTTATTAACATCGCCGCTAACGTAGAGTAAGTTCGGAAAGGTCATGTTAATAGAAACTAACACCATGCCCGCCTACACCGAGAACAATTAAACCAATAATCGTTGGGAAAGTACACTTCGTACAATTCAGCGAAAAGTTACCACAGTAACGAGAAAGAATAACCGTTTGACAGGTCGCAGTGTAGGCGGCCTCGCATCATAAATATATAGTTGATTTTTATGTCACGATCGATAGGGATTAAAATAGTTAACCTAAAGGGGCATAGAAAAGGGGGATAGTAAAAATTAAAATAACCGATGACGGATATTAAAACTATAACGTGGCGTAGTTCGCCACGCCTTTGGTGAAACGTCCGTGTAATTCTCCTAGCGATCGTGAATAATTCTGGGAACGTGTTAGAAGATGGGGGGAAAAAAGAAGACATCGAATTAATAGGAGACGAGATACTTACTTCCCGACAAAGTTCTCGAGAACAGAACTTTTTCCTGCGCTCTGACCACCTACCACGGCGATTTGTGGCAGATCAAGTTGCATGTGCACCCCAAGTTGTGTGAACGCATCTTGCAGCTTGTTCACGATCGGGATTAACTGTTCCATACCCACGTTTCCTGCCATTTTGTTCGAGGCTGTTTGCTCACTAACCCAAGAACACGATCGTTTTCGGTTTCACGGCTGTGTCCTGTGGGCGACACCGAGCTGCCACCACTTCCACGCACAACCGTTGAGGGTAGCTGCCAGAAGCGATCCTATCCGTTTTCGTGAAACACGCACTACCAAAATGGCCGATTTCGCGAAGGCACACGTCGGTCTACATCGAATTTCACCGCATTTTTCCAAAAACCGCGACGGCGGAATCACAAATGAAAGATGTCAGCCGCTGGCCTACTGCGAGAAAGTCACACCACGAACGTCCACGACCACTGCGTTCCCGTAAATGAGATCCAGCGTACGGACCAAGGCACGTAACGTTTCAATCGATAATCGAAGCGTGCGCATAGGTGCCTTCATTGTGACCCACTTTTCGCCGCGAGATAAAATCCATATCGTCCTCCTGCTGCTGACCTTTTTCCACTTCCCGCTGTAATTTGCTATCAAAGGAAGCTGGAACTGTACCTTTTGTCGTTTCTCGATCCTGTCTCGATTAACTTCTTCTTGTGTGTTCTCGCTGATTTTGAACATCACGCGGCAAATATTTTTACTGGCGCGGAACATTTGTAATCGTTATGAAAGTAGGCGGTGACCAATGAGAATACTACTTTCTGGTTATTACATTTGTAAAAACGATTGCCCCATTGGTTCATACTCGATCGTACACGTTTATCAGAAGGAACGAACTTTTGTACCATACCTAATTAATGTACGATTTTCTATTTCGTTGTGTATTACCTATCTTATCGTGATAATCGAAATAGGTAATACCAGTTAATGTAATTGGTCTTAGCTATGATGTATTCTTATTTCATAAGTAGGTGGAATATAAACATAAATTGTGTATACGTCGTTGAAAACATGAAATTATTTTTGTGAATATATATATTTATCTGAACTATACATTTCACAAGAAACTACCCCACATTTGCTAATCGATACGACAAATTTGTAATATATACTTCTAGAATAATTAATTGGAATGCTAGCAATTTTAAACGCAGCTGAGTGTGCGTAGTGTAACCGTCAAATATCTGTTTATATAAACTTTTTTTTTCCAAGTGCATACATAAAGGTAAAATAAAAATTACTAGGATTCGGACGGTATCATTGGTCGATGTGTTTTGAACGCGTAAAAGTAATATTTTGCTTTCAAGTAGAAAAATGACAATTGCAATGCATGCGTTTGTAAAAATACGATGAAAAATCCTCGAAATTCCTTTATTATAAAATTTTCACTTATGTTATCACTGTATAGAACAAAAGCTGGGAGCCAATAAGATGAAAGGGTTATAGAGAATCGAAGTTGGTCGTTTATATCTTACTCTATACTGGGTTGTGTTTGCGTCTTACATGATGAGAAAGACAATTCGTGATTCTCCGTTAAGCAATATGTTTTAAATCTTGTGCCTAAGATGAATAAAAATCGTAAGATCGATTTAAACTGATTCGACGGGATAATTGTTAAAAATATAAATCAACTATAAATTCAGTACACATATATGTAGTGATTGAGGGCGCGATCAGTATTTTCTTGCAATACGAGTCCAAAATGTCAGACATCGATAAATGGATAGAGATTGCAAAAGAGTGCAAGTACCTTCCTGAAAATGATCTTAAGGTAAATAATGTATATGCGATACATTATATGGTATCGTATCAATTGTGATATATTTGATTTACACGTATGATAAGATGTTAAACGTACATTTTGTAGGTTACTTATACCCCTGTATTTCTTTCGATAATTAAGTTAATTTTGTTTAGAAACTTTGTGACATAGTATGTGACTTATTACTAGAAGAATCAAATATTCAACCAGTGTCCACTCCAGTAACTGTATGTGGAGATATTCACGGCCAGGTAAGCTCCATATTTCTGTCCTAACCTCAACGTCGTATCGATATCTCTAACAGATAACGATATCTGTTTCGATAGTTGAAGTATGAAATATTTTTATATAAATCGATTAGCGCTTAATGTCGTTCATTACGTTTCAGTTTTATGATCTAGAAGAATTATTTCGTAATGGAGGCAATGTGCCTGATACAAATTATATATTCATGGGTGATTTTGTAGATAGAGGGTATTACAGTTTAGAAACATTTACCCGCCTACTTACACTTAAAGCTAAATGGTCTGATAGAATAACATTGCTTCGAGGAAATCATGAATCCAGACAAATTACTCATGTTTATGGTTTCTATGGTTTGTATATTACATTTTTCCTATGGTTAATAAATCAACATAATGAACATTTCACATTTATTATTTTTGCATGCATAATAATTGTTTGTTATTGTTTCCCATGCAGATGAATGTCAAAACAAATATGGCAATGCTAATGCATGGAAGTACTGCTGTAGGGTATTTGACTTGCTCACAGTTGCTGCCGTTAGTATTCATAAATAATAAATGAATTTAACATACGCATATATGCGTGTATTGTATAAATATAATTTTTTTTTCAGTTAATCGATGAACAAGTACTTTGTGTACATGGTGGACTATCCCCACTTATTAGAACACTAGATCAAATTAGAACGATTGAAAGAAATCAAGAAATCCCACATAAAGGTACTATGATTATTATTATTATAGATCGTTACACGCGTTATGGTTTACCCGTACTGGTGTACTTTATTTTTTATTTTACTTTCAGGTGCTTTTTGTGATTTGGTCTGGTCGGATCCAGAAGACGTCGAAACATGGACTGTTAGTCCGCGCGGGGCTGGTTGGTTATTCGGGAGTAACGTAACATATACATTCATGGAAGTCAACGACCTTAAACTTATTTGTAGAGCTCATCAATTGGTTCACGAAGGTATATAAAATTATTTAGAATTATTTAGAAATTATTTGGATAATGTCTAATTAAAATAATTCTTATTTCCGTTTTATTTACAGGTTATAGATACATGTTTGACGATAAACTTGTAACAGTGTGGTCGGCTCCGAATTATTGTTACCGTTGCGGTAACGTAGCTAGTATTTTACAGTTCACAACTGTCGATCAAAGAAGCCCAGTGCTATTCCAAGCAGTGCCTGATTCTGAAAGAGTAATTCCACCTTTAACCACCACACCATATTTTTTGTGATCTAACTTAGTGGTCTATTCACTTGGATGCAGAAAGGTGGTATCTGCGTTTAAGATTTACGGAATTACATGACTGTTTCTTCATGTTAATGGACACAGGCTGGTACTATGACGGAGCATAAAATTTACAGAAGTATATCGGAGGATGATTAATTATCCGGAGTTTTAGTTTTAAAATAAAATTTTTTTATGTTTTTACGAGAAAAAAAAGATGTATCAATTAGAAATCGGAATTATCGTGTGATTATCTGTTCAGGGAAAATGTTCTTACACATTTTTTAGGAAATATACCAATTTTTGTATGTTGGAGAAGTTAACTTTTATACATAGTGCGCCTGCCATTGCATCAGCCTGATTTCTCTAGTTTGAAAACTGTTTTACATTGAAACAAATGTAAACACTCTGTGGTCTAGACGCTTTTGCTGTCTGTTGTGTACATTCTGCAGAGCATTCGTATCTCAGAGCAGTATTGTGAATGTATTGTTCTAAAGGCCGAGAGCTTTTAAGCAAGCTACGGAACGTAAACAACAAAAGTGCGGTTCATTAGTGTACGAATGAATATAAATGAAAAACCATTTAAACATTTTGGCAAGTGCGAGTCTCTGAGCACAGTGAATGCTTTATTGATATTACGATCGTTGCGCGTAGAATTCAGGTTTATTAAAGCGTGAGCATATACGGAATGCGCCCGAATAACATGTATAAGTAAACGGAAAGTGATTCCTTATGAGAGAATAAGGAAAAAAATATAAACATAAATTTTTTTCGTTTATCGACTTAGTATACGATATTATAAATACACACTTACGGCTAAGATACGACTCACCTAGCGATGCATAATGTCTACCGTATTTGTAAATAATGTTTACACGATATTTACAAGTTACTCCATTCCAGAAAGAAGAAAGAAAAATACATTTTATTAACTATTTCGTTTGTTGTTAATTACAAAATTGCTAAAACTGATTGCCTTGTTCCTTTATGATTAACAATTTCTCTTCATATGATATCACTCCATAAATAAAAATCAAGAATTGTAAGGTCGTACGATCTTAATCCAACGTTGATCGTTTTCATTCAACAAATTTTTTACTCGCGTCGAAGTATGGCAGAGATCATGTTTGAAAATTAATTCGTCGAATATTATACATCTGATAACGTTGACTATTCTTCGCGTAAATAATGTAAATAACACTTGAAAATGTATTGCGTTGCATGTGGATTTCTACTTAAGTGTTATTATGAATGTTGAAATCACCATCTCTAGTGAATTGTGCTTTGTCCGTCCACAAAATGTACGGCATAATTTCCGAGTTACTATCGCGTCGAATCAGAGAAAAAGCTGAGAAAAAGCTACTTGTGCTGTGACTTGGTCGTAAGCGTGTGTACAAACGGAGTAAATTAAATTCGATTACCTGGAAAACTATGCCGTAAACAAACAGTATTTTATACTTTATTATCTTTCATCTCACAAGGGATCTAACATCCTTTCCGCTTGTACATGTTATCCGAACGAACTCGGTATATTATTGTTAAGGTCTTCCTGAGTACGTAATTAATCCGTTTCTGGTTTAGATACTGTGTGTGCTGCGTGCAATTCTTTTTATACTAGATGTGCAATCAGTGTTCTTAGCAGCATAAATTCGGCCATTTTGCCGAGGTACAAATAGTATGTAGCAGTAGCCAAAGTTTTCCTGCCTAGGTAAGGGAATACAGTAGAACAATTGTATTATATAATAGAATTCTCGTTATTATTTTACGCGCATGACAATTGTACATTTTGATTCTCGTCTTCGTTCTTATCATAAGCATAATAACGTCGCTTGAAAAAAAAAAAAACCGTTCTAAACCGTTCAAATTTCTTTCAGATCGATCGGCCTTTTTGTCAGCCACGTTTCGCGTTTGCGTGTACAGGAGCAATAGGTTGAATATTATTATATATTCCCCGGGGGAGGGGCGACTTTGTACGGTTCCCGCATTGTATGCCAAATTGCTGTTGTACTGAGTAATTGTAATAACTAGATCGTCATAAGTTCATTAATGTAGGGAGCAATTTTTAAGAACCGAGACCTTTAGCAACGTGCCTCTAAATTAATAAGCGTTTGTGTAATATAATGATACGATATTGATACATAATTAATGGGAACGCATTGGCCATTGCGTATCGTAAGCCTGAATTCTGACCATCGATTTGTTAGCCCACGATATTCCTAACCGATCACAGACCCGAACGAATACGGCATTCGCATTGGCATTGGCATTGGCACTGGCACTGGCTGTCAAGTTGAGACTACTATATTTTGAATTTTGTGATATAGTTCGAGCGAGGCATGTGAAAATTGCGTCGACGTTTGTAACGATTTTCCATGTCGGGGATCGTTTTAAAGATGTTTTGAAGACTCGTTATTTCAAGAAGTATAAGCCAACATTTGAACAGTGCCTTCAGAACTATAACACGACGGTCTATTAGAAGTAAATACTTTCTACTGACGGATAATCATAGACGAACTAGGACGGAACATATAAATAACAGAGAGCTTAAACAAGGGGATGGCGTGTATAAGGAATTTCTCTTCACTTTTTTATATTCCAGGAAATGATCGCTAACAATCCCTCTAATCAGGTCTCGACGTTATCGTCGCGTGAGATATTTCGGCATCCAATTCGATTGCTTTACATGAATCCTTTTTACATTTTACAATATTATCGATACGAAAGAAGAAGAAGAAAAAAGAAAATGACGAAAAAAAAAAAAGAAAAAATAAAATACAGATACGATTTATATATATACACATATATATCCAGATTGTTACGATATGCAATTACACAATTTGACATTAATCACTGCTTTTATATTTACTTTATCGATATTGTATTAGATAGATCATTACACGATGCAAGACACGGAGTTTACGTTACAAACTCGACCTGTTGGTTTTGCAGCCTCTGTACCGCTAAAATGAAAGGCGATGCGTGAGAATGCCTGCGTAGTACAGACATCCTAGAAACCATAAGAAAAGTATTAGCCTCTGTGTCTACCTGGGTATTCGCAGGAATCACCTTTTAAAATGCCTCTGTCTGTGATCGACTTTAATCTTATCGAAGTGTCCAAGCGCTTGCGAATAAAGAGAATCGCGTTTTAACGACGGGGGACTTGGTTTTGGCTTGGATCTACCGCGCGGGAGCTTGAACACTGCGCATAATCCTTAAAGATCTCACAGGTAGACAAAAAAACACTTTAACGAACATGTACCTTGAAAGTATAGACTTTGTTATGTTAATGTAGTGAAACGTCTGTAATAAAAGTACGCAAAACAATTGCAACCGTCATTATCAATGATATAATCCCGGCGTTATTATTGTGATAAACAAAGTACAATATATGTGTACGTATATGGAGCGGTATTAAAGGGAACGAGATACACGTTTATGTAGGTATGGGTGTGGAACAATAAAGATTTCATAAGATCTGCTCATCTTTAATTAGTTTATTTACTTGTAATAATATTATTTTCATCGTATATATAATAATTCTATTTACTCCTTACTATTTATATATAATAATATAGTGTATTTATGTTCACTATGTATAATATATTATCTACATTTATAATCCCTATGAAAGGCATCTCCAAACAGACTTCAGATTTACTTTTTTTTTTTTAAAATATTTTATTTATTCATAAAAATACAGGGGGTTTACGCGCCACCTGTGAAATCTAGCCTGTTTTGCCCGGAACCGATAGCCTCCGATCAATTGGGTCGGATGTATAACGTTATATACCTTACAATTCTTAACTCTTGCAACAACAACGAATTTATTGTTCCTCAACATCGTCTATGTACACGTCTTCATGCAAGCTAATCTGAAGATTTTACGTTCAGCTAAAGGTCTGTAGCGCGCCCCGTTGTTCCGTTTCTCGTTGTATCCGCATTTAATGCGTAATTATATTACTAACAATCGTTCTCGCCACTGGGTAAAACGATTTAAAAGAAAAGATCAAACGATTTCGAGAGCTTCGATACAAAGAATGAAATGCAGCGAAAATGCAACGGATAAGCTCGATGAACGTCTACGAAATCGTTTTAGTAACGACGAGAAAATAAATTAAAACTAGAACATAAATTTTGTACAATAAACATATATATTCTCTTCTCCGCCGACTAGAGTATTTGGTTCAAGACACGTATCGATAAAGTAAAGGAAAAAAAATATATACGCAGCATTCCCAGTCCGTTTACTGCTCTTTCTTTCAATGATTCGATCGATGTCGTTTAAATAAAAACGCTACATTAAAATAATTATTATAAAATCGTCGCTTCATCGTTCCCGCTGAAAGTAAAAGTTGCGATAAAATTGCATGATTCGCACGTATGTGAAACTCCGTAGTAAAAGTATCTAAGTACAACCTCGTTGAATTATTTTTCGGGGCAGAACAAAGAAAAAAAAAAAAAAAAAAAATGGAAAGAAAGAAAGAAAATGTTATCAAAACGTATAAAATGTTACGAAATGCGTGAATCGAGTTCGAACGACTCCCAGTGGAATAATAATGATTCTACGCAAACGCTTCTTGCTACGTGTTTCGAAATCGCGGGGAATCTCGATGGATTCGAGCGCAGAAGCGAAAATTTCGCGCGCGATCGTGACCGCCAACGAGAAATCGTATTTTCGCGCGTAAAACTTCGATTAAAAAACTGTTGATGAATGCAGCATCCGGTTCCCGGCAGAGCGGCGATTCACACGGCGCCCAAATCTCAGTTATAAAAGGAATAGTCGAAGGTAAACGAGACGATAAAAATGTACTTCCTAAACGTAGGTAGAAATTGGTAACTTTGACTCACTCATTGAAAAAGTATTTTTTTTTTTTTTTTTTTTTTTCTTGCCAATCCGGCATTCGTGCTTCCTTTCAGCCCGTCGTTTTTGGGTTAACGTTTGCATCTCGCGCATCTTTCGCTATACCGTGACAAGCAACGCGCTTCAGTGTACGCCGGCTATTGGCTGGGACTGCTTGAATCGTTTCGTATTCGAATACGTTAGTGGCATCCGAACGCTATGAATTAATTTCGAGCAAGAGAGTATTCAAACATTATTATTTAAATATTACTTATCGAATCTCATTATTCAAACACTGCTATTTGAATGTCATTGTTCAAACGAGTTCATATATTTTCACTATTTATGCATGATGTACTTAAATATAACATTTTGTTATCAGGTAATTCGAGTCACGCGAATGAAATCAATGATTCTTAAAAAGTAATCGACGTATACAAATACAGAATGTCGAGTGTGATTGTTCGAAACTGCTTACAGCCAATATAATTCGAATAATTAGTTTTCTTTATCAAAATAGAAGTGTCGAATCATAACTTGAACATCCATAATGAGATATAAAATCAGTTAAGGATTTTAATAAATGTAACCTTTAAACTGTATCCACCCTAGCGTGAGAAATTGCAACTAATGTGTACTACTCATGGGGTTATAGAGAGTTAAACAAGAATCAAAGTTGAATTAAAAATTTTCAAACAGTTGATTATTCAATCGACATTTAAATACTTAAGTGTTCGAATTATATTCGTCGAATATTTGAATCACAAAAGTGTTCAAACATTCGAGCACAGTGAAACTCGACAAGAAGTCCCAGCTTACATGGCGATCGCACGAAATCTCGGGAGGAGATTTCGTCGTTTTGACAAGAAATAAAACCATCGTACAAAAGTGAAATATAATTAAACGTCCCATTAACGCTTAACGGTTTCGATACCCTGATTCACCGTTCCAATATTCGCAAACAAAACTCTATCGAATGGTTCGTCTATTGCCTCGTATAAATCTTTCCGTATCGTCTGACGCTTTCTAATAATCGAAATCGAAAAAACGATCGAGTGAAACCATACATATCCCTGTCATCCCTTTGCAAAAGCTCGAGTAATGCGTTCATGTATAAAATTTCGCTCGCTCCCGATCGTTCTCTTTTGCGCGCCGCCAGCGACACTGCGGCGTCGCTTGACACTATATAAGAGCAGGTATAACACGGAATTATACAAAGAGACAGGACTAGTACTTTCAACATAGTTATTATTAAACCTTTCGTACAATATGTACAAAGTTAAACCCACAAACGAGAGGCATGTGTTTATTTTTTTAAATTTCTTATGTTTATCTTTATTTACTTTTGCTCAATAGACTCTCACTCGCACTTAAATATTAAAGGTTGGGCATGATATACTCGCGGTAGTATAATGCCCTAAGTCTTGCTGATCCAACGCGTAGCTCTCCCGTAAGCAGCTGCTGTACTCCCAGACATCGATGCACATTTCATTTTATACAATATACATATTTATATTTATATTTATATATACTTATATATATAATGTAATATAAAGACAGTCCAACTCGGTGCTTGTTTTTATTTCGTATTTTCTGTTTACTCCTTCAACGCGGTGTTCTTTGTTTCCTTCGTTCTTTCGCGACCGACGACACTGCCACTCGTATGTACAACACTAACAATAAATAGGACGCGACGAGAAAAAAGTTCTTCGCGGGAAGTACATAATGTTTACGAGCTAACGAGAATAAAAAGAAAGAGGGGAGAGAGGGTGGAGCGGGGGGGGGGTCAAATTATTCGAGGATGCTGGGTCGTGGCGAGGTTTCAGAGATTAGTGAGGAGGAAGACAATAGAATATTTACGAAGATAGAGGACAGAAGGAAGAGAGCAAAAAGGAACGAACGTATCGCCTACCAATATCATACGTTGCTTTCCCCTCTGTATTGCACTTACACGAACGGTAACTTCGAAAATGAAATTTCTTTTTTTCGCGAATCACGAGAAATCATGACGGTAACGCAAAAACGGAAGAAGTGTTTTACGTTCAGGGAAACGCGTTGGCCAATGGTCACGGATCACTTAACTAATTCAGCGAGGTTTTCCTTTATCGTTTTCGCGCGGGAAGGGGGGGGTGTGGTTCGAGGTGGGAGGGGGAACGCGACCTCATCGACCGTCACAATTGAACACAGAGACGAGTGTACGATGATGTCCGGAGAATACAGGAACCGTTACACCCAGTTCCTTAACCTCAAATAATATACATGTTTACCGTATGAAGTATCCCATCGTCAGTTAAGTCTTATAGTATGGACAAGTATCCCTAGGCTAGTAGGCCCAAGGTCTGTGAATAGTTCGTGTTGATTCTTCGTACGTGCCAGCGTCACCACGAGCCACGGCGAAAAATATGCACAGTCGCGTCTCGATGAGAAAAGGCAACGGTTGCGTCAAGCGTGAGACGAGCCCCCTCGCGGAGAATCGTTCCGGGGGGGGGGACGGTTTGAGCAGAAATTCGGTTGGTGACTGTCGCCGCGGGGCCCTGAATCGTGAACGGGCCCGCGCACGACGCTCGAAATAGAAGTAAATAAATGCAAAACGACCGAAGACGCCCGGGGGATGAATGCTTATCGTACCGGAGAAACAAAGATCAGATCCGGAATTAACTAACCTCTCTTTCTGCCTGCACGGTCGCACGGAGAAAGAAAGATTAGGCCTGGCGGGAAACACGAGTCGCGCAGGGCCAGACGTATCGGTCGGTAAAGTCCAAATCCTACTTACTCCACCAAACACCCCATGAACCGAACCTGATTTTTGTTTCTTCTTACCGCGCGGTAAAAAGGGATCTTTTTTTTTTTTCGCCGTGCTCGTGATCGCGCGCGCACAGGTGATTTAGCGCGTATTTACGATAACTTCTATGGAGGCAAGATGAAACAATCACGTTGCGATAGAACGTGCGCCGATTAATCATTACATGCGTATACAAGGAGCATTGCTTTCCAAGGACACCAACGACGTTTCGACCGGCGTCGGCCACCCGGTTTTGCTTCATTTCCTTCTCCAGCTTTTCACCCCATTTTGTAATTCGCGTATTCTTAAATAATTGAGCCAATCCGGAGAGCCTGGGTATTTCTGGGCCCCGAGGAAACCGAATATCACACGTGTCGATGACACACAGACACATATACGCGTACACAGGCTCGCGAAAGTATACGAATCCAACGTTCAATACCTCGAACGACCAAGTATCGTTGTGATTTTTTAAACATTTTTTTCTTGGAAATATTCACTTGTAAAATTGTAAAATAATTGCGGCCAAAGATAGTGGAAAAATATACGGGATAATGAAAGTAGATCATATATGGAAACATATATGGAACAATGAAAGTAGATCGTCTAGTGAGATATGAAAATAGTAATAATTGTTGGCTCGATAAAAATAGTTTGAAAATCACAAGGTGTCTTGGTCATTTCAAGATTGAATCGTTTCGCGCGTCCTCGTGTGTACGCGTACCTACATTAGCTACAGTGGGAAAAGTCTTGCACGTCTAAGAGAAAAATTCGTCGAATGTACGCTCCCCCGCGAAATAGAAATACCGAGTCTCTCGTTGTCCGTGCTATCCGTTCGTTATACACGTTTTTCCATTCATCATTCTTTTTTTTTTCCGTTCTAATACTATGAAAATTATCGCAGTCGTTTCAGCGAGGAATCATAAAAGAAAAACAGAACAGAATCTTTCAATATCCGTCCAACGATATTTCGAACCGATCCGATCCACGTACCGGCGTCGACGGGGCCGTCGAATTTATTAGAACCATTTGTAAAAGTACTCTGCGATTGAAAAATGTCGTCGAGCGTCGAAAAATCATCGTTTAAAAATCCATTAAAAAATTTTTGTCGCAAAACATTCGCACAGTCGCCACGTAAACGTTATCAAAAAGTCACCGAACGTCCATGAAAGCATTTCCTCGCAAGAAACATTCGAAGCAGTGTCCCGAGAGTCCACGCGATCCTGTACAGACGGGAGCATGATCTATCCAGGTTCAACGACGAAAGAAATTTATCGTAGCTGTCTCGCTGTTCGCGTTCCGTTTGCTCGAATGCTTAAAAAAACTGACCTGAACTCGACGAAATCTCACCCAAGCCCATCCGCGGGAATTTCTACGATCCCCGATTCGTCCGCGCGAAGCGTGACAGTCCAATGACGTCGCGAAGGCGGAGCGCTCCGGCCAATAGGGCCGCGCGTTAAAGGTCCCGCCCGCTCGAACCGATCTCCCGAGCTCCCGTCTCTACATACGCGCGTATCTCTGCTCTCGTAAGCTCTAGAAACGAGTCACGCGAACCGGGACGTGGATCCGACCGCCCGAAGGACAATAAAAGAGCAGTCGCGAACGAGGACATCTTCGATCGGTGAATGAATCGCGCGTAAATTGTAAATTAACGAAACGATGAATGTATATATTATACACGTAATATATGTATATATATATATATGTATATACATCGTTATAGTCTTTTGTGTTGCGCGCTTGGACCATGATTCGGAGCGTTGAATAACGACAAGGACGACGATAACAACGAGTACGATAACGAATCCGAGGTTCTTGATGATCGGTGTATATATGTGTGTGTGTTTTGCGTGTGTTGAATCCTGAACATTCCATACGAACGGTGAGCTTCATTTTCTTTTCGTACGGGGGGGGGTGGATACCGTTAACGCGTAACGTTGGTCCTTGCGTTTCTCTTCCGTTTTCTGTTTTCGGCGTGTCGCGCGAACGTCATTGTTTCCCTCTCCAAGAATAAAAAAAAAAAAACAGAAAAAAAAAGGGGAAAAAAATAGAAGAAGGTTTCTGTCAGAGTCCCCGTAACGACGTTTCCAATTGATATTCGAGCGGGTAGACGGCCAGTGGTTCTCCGTGTCTTCTCTTACTTAGAATGGTAACTGAAATATATCACACTTACGCTTCCAGTGCGTGATAACGACGATCGTTAGTCAGGGTTGGAATCACGTGGATACATCGACGAGAGAGGGGGGTGTGGTTCAAGTATGCAGGCGTTCGGAGAATTATATTAGTCCAGGTGATTTGTGTGTATGCGTTGCCCAGCTGCCTCTGGACAGAGTTACGTTCAATGCGATTATTAAAGGTTTTCGTATGTATTATAACTCGATGCGTGGAGATACGCAGAGACGCCTGCAGGGGGGTTGGCGGTCGATGTTCAACCGATCGATCGTTTTTTTTACGTTTTGTGCCATTGCTCGTGACCCGTCGTCGATCATCATTATCATCATCATCATTATCATCGTTATGATCACCATTATCGTATCAACATCGGTCGACTGATCTTTCGGTCGTTTTGGTAGTCTGCTATTTAGTTGATAGTGGTGGAGAATAGTGGTAATAGTAGCAGTAGTAGTAGTAGTAGCAGCAGAAGTAGTAGTAGTAGTAATAGTAGTAGTAGTAGTAGTAGTAGGTGGTAGTAGATGGCCTACAGTGAGCGTACGTAACGAGAGTCTTATTATCGATCGGATTATGCAACGTGAACACACAATGACGTAGTTGCGCGGTACTGCGTACAGAAATATATTATTATAGTCTTTTAGTTTCGATAAAAAAGTTCAGTTCCCTCCTCGATTGATTTTCTCATCTCGAGGTGGCGCGCTTTCTCTCTATATTATTTTCTCGCTCTCCCTCTCTTTCGCTCTCGCTCTCTCGAACTTTTATATTTTTTCATTAATTTTATCTTCTTTTTATTATTTAAAGCATTCTCTCCACGTTCGTTTTCTCTCTCTCTCTCTCTCTCTCTCTCTCTCTCTTTCTTCCCCTTTTCAATATATTCTCTTTCTCTCTATCACTATATCCGGTAGTTGCTCCTGTTCTCTTAGCATCTTTCGTTTCGTTCTCGTCTTGTTTTCTTTTTTTTCTCTATCACGCTTCTCAACGGTTCTCCGTTCCCTTCACTACCCCTCTTCGTTTGTACAACGCAACGAACACACAGATTTATATTATTTATATGTGTATATATATATATATAAATACATATATACTTCGATATAATTATCATACATACGCAAACAAAGCCTTTACCCATTTTTATTTTCGGAGCGTCGGACTTCCCCCATCTCGTTTTTCATTCGTTCGTTCATCCGGTTTTATTATTTCCGTTGTTGTATGTATATTTATGTATATATATATAAATATATATATATATTTATATATTTATATGTATAGTATGTATATAGGTATTCAGCTTCGTTTATCGTCAGTTGGTTTTTTTTATTTACTATCTTTGAATTGCTGAGTTCAATAGGAAAGGAACGTAGAACATTTTACTCTCGAGTAGAAGAGCTGCCGCTGATTGTACCTGGAATTCAGGAAGAAAACAGGATCGACTTAGGTCCCACGTTTCTCTGATTCTTATTCGATGTTTTCGGTTCGCGAAAACTGTCTTTCTTTTTATTCTTACGCACGGTTACCGCGAGATTTTACTGCTCGAACCATCTCTTATTTTCTTTTATTCCCGATGAAAAAAAAATTTATAATTAATTTACGCAATTCGATCGTTCTCGGGGGAATTTTTTTTGTTTTTTGTATTCTCGAACTTACTTCCGGCAACCTGACGAGCAGATCGTGAAACCGACTCGGCTGTTGGGGCGCGCTGTGCTCGACGAAACTTCGCAGACAGCTCATGTACCGTTCTTGTATTTGTTCTAATTCCATTGTACCTCCACGTGCTAAGAGAAGACAGACGCAAGAGAAACAACTGTAAATAAAATTCACGCCATTGCCCCTTACGAATCTTTCGCTATTCTCGTTTCACACGGGGTTGAATTTTTGGAGCTACAAAGAATAGTTTATGAAAAGAAAACACATAGTTGCTGTTGCAATAACGATACATATACTACTGAAACTAGGCAAGAATAAATAAACATAGTCTGAACAGGCATAGTTTAAATACCATACTATATTAAATAAATTGTATTTGTTCAGATCATATTTATTTTATACATGACACTGATGATTATTCGAACGACAGTCGTGTAATTGTCTTTTCATTTTAGAAATGGTCGTTCGAATAGTTGGAAACTTATACTACGAATTTTTGTATTTCAGATCGAAACTTACATTTTGCATCTCCAATTGCAGCATTATCAAAAACAAAACGGTATACATTGCCTTATATTTTTAGTTTCTCGATAAAATAGACGGTGTATAATGGTCAGGAGTTGGTTCATTTTTCAGAGAACGTTAAATAAAGATACTTACCTTGTGAGAGCATGGTGATTACTTTCAGACAGACATATTCTTCCATCCGTAGCCTCACCTTCCTGAACATTAGTGTGACGTACGTGATCTTTTCCACCATGAGCCCCACGTCCTGCCGCAATTGGTCCATGGTTATCGGCCGGCCCATCATGCTGGTTAGGCACGTTTGCAACGTATACATGTTGTTCGAAACCTGTCCACGAACGTATTCATTAAATACAGTCCTCAGAACGACTATCTAATCCTGAGAACGCATTACAAAACGTTTCGTTCAATCCTCCAACTCAGAATTACTAAACACTTATAGTTAGTGTACCTTAGACAGTACAGTAATGATTCTTAAAATGATCCTCGCACACGTGATTCGTAAATTGAACATTTCTAGCCCCCCCAGTTGGAAGTTAGCGTTCTCCAATCTTTTTCGACGCCTCAAAGTAGTGATTCGTAAATTGAACATCCCCCTTTAGAGCCAAATCCTATCGTGCATTTTCGTCACTTTACTTCCTATTGTTCTTACATCTACTTCTATATTTATCTATACTAAATTAGTAGCTGTTAGTTCAGACAATCTCTGTGAAATTTGAAGAAGGCCCTTATGGGTCTAATGTTTGCTTATTAAACTAAGAACCTTCCAACCGTGGAGGGTCGATGGTAACGAAATAACGAGCTACTTCATGAAGACAATGTAATTACTTCTTGCATAAAATCCGCTCCCGTCCCGTCGGTACCGACATTGGTGAACTTGTGCTGACCATGCATCGCTTGATAGGCGGACGTGGTCAGCACCAGGAGTTCGTGCCACTTGTGGGTGAGCAACCTCGTGTGAACTTCGACCGGTAACTCAAGGTAAAACGGTAACCTTTTGGTCCACTGCACCAACTTGTACACTATGCTGTCTCCTATCTGACACAGCTTCTCACTTAAGTCTGATTTATGGTCCAGCAGCTCGTCCAAGTTCTGCAATGCGGACGAAATACATTCGTGAGTAAATCGATCGTGGTTAAGCGACGATTAGGGCGATCGGCGATCGTTTAACGGAGGAGAAATCGGTCTGTGTAACGCTATGATCGTGAACCCACCCTCAACGTGGCGATATCTTGGAACTCGTCGCAGTCTATAAGGGTTTGGATCATGGCGAGGGTAGCGTCCAAAGGGAATGCTCGATCCCTCGAACTGCTCACTGCGTTGTCTAGCCTCTGCCTTAAGTGTACCACCTTGAACAGAAGAGAATTTCAAAATTAGTTTTAAAAGCGTGGAAATTGATGGCATTACATAGGGGCTGGCAAACTTTTGGGGCAAAAAGAGCCAGTGCTTTATGGTTGACTGTTTATTGTTCGTTTACTTGCATTAGCATTTGTGAATATCCTATTTTTTAGCTAACTAAAAGATGGAACTAATTGAAATAGATTGTTTCTTACTATTGTTATTAGTGATTAAAAATATCGATACAAGTAGAAATAGACTGCTGGATGAATTTTCAAAATTGAGAAATACTTCCTTGGTGTTCGAAATTTCGTTTGTATAATAAGTTTGTATAATAATATGTTTAGCAAGTAATAAGCAAATAATAGGAAAAATGAAATAGTTTTTATATTATATCGACTTGGATAAAACCTGTTAAAAGTTGAGGATATTATTCACTTATATAAAACCGAATACAATTTCCTCCGTTTCCTCGTTTTCGAATGTTTGACTCGTTCCCCCAGATATGTTTAGAAAGTAACCTGTTATTATCGTATTAAATTATCTTTCCCACGAGTACTTATAAAGAGAATTTTTCATGCAACAATATTGGGATTTAAAATTGAAAACTAAATTAAGTACAATATTACTGCACTACCCATGGTGGTGTTTGTTAAAAATTAAGAACACATTTTTAAGAAAAATTGGCCTAAATATTTCGGCGAAATTAAAAAATTTGAAATTGTTCTAAAAAAAATATTTTCAATTGCAGGGGTCAATTACAATCAGTTTTGGTCAATACACATACCCCCGAAATTTTAAGCAGTTTTGAGAAAAAAATTCATTACTGAAAATATAATGTCTGACCATAACTGTCTGTTACCCTGAAAATTGAAAAGTTTCAAATCGTTCTGAAAAAATTATTTTCGGTTGCGGGAGTCAGTTCCAATCATTTTTGGTGAATACAGATACCAGCGAAATTCTACGCATTTTTGAGAAAAAAATTCTTTACCGAAAATATAATGTGTATACCGGATAATTGAAATTTTAAACTTTTGATAATTGAACTGGTGACAAACAAGTCTAAAGACGACCTTTCTCTGCCTACTTTCAGTTAAACGCAATCGAAAATTGTCCATATTTATAAACGTATAATTAAATATAATTAGAATGAGCTCGTCAATTCTTTGAAAATACGGTAGTCTTTGGTTATATAAACTTGAATCTATGCAAGTTCTTCTTTTGAACGAAAAACTAACGAAAAGGGAATTTTCATATCAATAGCCTATAAAAAATGGCGTATAATAATGGCTCCACTTCTATTAATTTCTAACCTCCATCGAAAGCATCATTTACGAGAGAAACGTTGCGATTTTATAACAAGTTCACCCCGTATCTATAATCTATTTTATAATTCCAATTACGAACAACGAAGAAGCTTCCGATCGCGAAGGGTTAAAATCGTCAGGCGTACGGTTCCGCGAGCACGTGCTCGCATCGCTCATTGGTAAACCCGTGGATACGATTTCACCTATCGCGTCTCTCTTCCGCGCGAAATTCGAGACAAAGGTGCTCAACCTTACGAAACTTCCGCTCGGCGATTTCGAGTGGCCGGCACGAAGAAGAATCGACCGCGGTGCCGGTTTGCTTCCTACGTAAATCCGATCCGGCCTTTCACTGACCTTTCAGACCTCGATGTACTTCCTCGAGGTCGGTATTTGTAGACTACGCGAGAGGGAGAGCGGCCTCGACTGGCGATACCTTCGGCGAAAGCTGCGATCCTCGCCTCCGACGGATATACCCTTAAGTTTCGCGCACACCGGCGCAGATCTTACACCGTGGGACACGTTCCGTGGCTTGAAGGCGATCGCGTCCGCGAAGGCGGAGAGAGACAGATAGGTGTCGGGAGGAGGAAGAGAAGGAGGTAGAGGTGAGGTCACTGTCCCTTGTGCAGACTTTCACGAGTTACGAAACCGCCGGAGAACTGCTCGTCCTTGGCACCGGCTGTCGCTGATTTTCTATTGTCCCTACCCCTCTCCGAGCAGTCGTCGTTCGTCGTCATCGTCGTCGCGTTTCGCTCGGACGCCTCGATGCGACGTCGATAACGACCGACGCCTTCGACGCAGCGACGATTCCTATCGCGGGGACCCTGGATCCTGGTCTACGACTATCTCTTTATCGAGTTCTCTCGTTACTGGCGAACTCTAATTCGCTCCTCGTGCGTGAGGCAGCTATTCCCAGTTGCTCTAATCAAATTAATATTTATTACACGGGTAAAAACCCATTACTGTACGAGGGAAAGCATAATATTCCTACACTTGAGCTGCTTATAGATAAGCAATAAAGCAAAATTGATATTGAGACTCGTAGTTCGATTATAAATAGTGAATTTTTGAACGAGGGAATTTTAGTCGCAGAAAATTTGAGCCTTGTTGTATATTTATTAGCGTGCAAATCCTGTTAATATCGAAGATGAACGGCAATAGATATCGTTTGCGTGTCGCAACGATTGCTCGTGTAGGAGAATCAACATTACTGTAAAAAATGTATAGTTTGTGTTTGGTAAGCCCACTGTGACGCTTCCAACCCGAGAAAGGTGATTTTCTAAATTCAAATGTGTTGGTTTTGACCTGGAAGACTAGCTCTGTTCTTCACCCTTAACAATTGTGAACAATTTAATGAAAATTCGCGAATTTCTGATGTTAATTAAATATTATCGAGTGTACTTTGCCTTGGTCCACCTAGACTCTTGGCCTACAACCCCGTAGATCACAGATATCGTTTACAACCCCCTAGCTCTACCACTATCAGAGGGTTTTTGGAAGAGTAACTCCCTTATAGTTGCAACTCACAGTATCATTGTACTTTGACCGTAGTTTCGAAGCTTCTGGCCTTTGACCTCCTCATCAGTAAATCACCAACATTATTTCTACCCCCTGGCAGCGCTATCAGCATCGTTGAACTTGAAATAACTAGTCCACTCTTCGTTATCCCAGTTATGAGAGGACCAGGTGTTTAAAAGACTTGTCCAACCCAAGCATAACGCTTCTAGAATGTTTTCTCTTGGGTCTTTTCTTCTGACAGTCTTCTGACAGAGGGGGGAAGTGATTTTCGAAATTCACGATCATCTTTCGGCGCTGAACGAGCAATGATTCGCCCGGAGATGGAAAGTGACCTCCTTAATGGGAGCCTCCGTCGACAATATTTATTCGGCGTGTTCGAGTCATCGATTTCACTTTTGGCAATGGCCTCTACCGAATGTTCCCGGTAATTCTTGTCATTGTTTGCATACCTCGTGCGTTCGTGTCGCTCGAATATTCTCAACGGCCATCATCGTCGCACTTATGATCCCCTCGAGGCATATTACGAGTACTTTGATCGAAATCAGAACGAATGAAACAACTTTTGATATGTTCAAAAAGGAGTTTATAATAATATTTTTCTCTTTGACTCTCGAAGAATTGAGAGTCTCAAAATTTCTAAAATACAGTTGCTTCGGTTCGAAGGGAGATTTTTACGTGTTATTTCATTTCTCAAGTCTCTGATGGCCGATCTAGTAGTCTACAATCGTAATTATATCGTGGAGAGTAATAGATTCGATTATCGTTCGATCGTGGACGAAGCTTATTCGCGCTAAGACGAGTTACCGTACGGAGGATTAAGTTCCACCGTCGAACGACTTATCGAGCCTCGCGTTACCGTTGTTTCGCCACCTAATAGGAAACACTTTCACGATGGAACAGATAATACTGTGTTTAGACGAGTACGAAAAGGCATGCGAGACGACGAACGACGACCGGCTCTCGAGAGCTCGTTGTATCTATCGGCTTTCGTAATGTGGGAAACCTTGAGGCTTGCGCAAGCAGGCTCGTAAGAAAGTGAAATTGCAACGGAGAGTTCATTCATTTCAGGATCGTTCGAAGACCGATCGAAGTCCGTCTAAATTGCCACGTTCATTCGAATCGCACAACAACTCTGCTCTTCGATTATTTTTTCCATGTTTCAAATTCCTAAATGGCGACAGAAATTAGCAAGATTTTACTTTTTAAATGGAATATCTTTCTTTCATTGAATAAGTACTGAAAAATCCCTCTCATTTAACGTGAAATATAATTTAAAAGAAGAATTTCATCAACTAAAATTTTCAAAATTTTCTTCAAGGAAGAGATGTTTCTTTTTTTTAAACGTCCATTATGCATTATCTGAAATCCATTGTTTTCATACTCGTCACTGTAAATTTGAGTACTTTTTCTAAACTTGAATACGATTTTTGTTTTTGGCAGCCAACGATCGACGCGAGATTCATCGACGCGCTCTGTAACGGGGTCTTCGCGATCGCGGATCCAAAGACGTCGATGATGTAACGCTGACTAACGCGATTCGATTTACGTATTTCACGAGTCGATGTACGAACAAAAGGTTACCAATGAAAATTTCACGCGGTTCGTGTGAAAAATCGAAACGATCCGATTGCTCCACATTGAATCGATCAATTTTCGTCTTGGATCATCAGGGATCTCAGCGAAATTTAAACAGGACACAATTCGTGCAAAACTAGGCAGAGTCTAAGTCATCACTATGCTGCTGTCGAATTTGTTCAAAAAATGTAAACAATCTTCATTAGAACGAATATCGTTTATTTTTTATTTTGAGAATTGAATTTCAGAGTCTTCATTGAAAAATAAGAATTTACTCGATTGACGCCAAATTCTGTTTATTCTTTGCCTTAGAAGAATTCGTTCCAATTTTCTTTTCTTTTTTAAGAGTTTCAGTAAATCTTTCAGAACGATCGTCATCCTCGATCATCAGGGATTTCATTGAAATTTACACAGAATATAGTTCGTGCAAAACTAGGCAGGGTTTAAGTCATCACTTTGCTGGTATCGAATTTGTTTAAAAAGTACAGAGAATGCTTCAATAAGAATTTCATACGCAATTCTGTTTATACTTTGCCTTGGAAAGATTCGTTCCAATTTTCGTCTCTTTTCCACGAGTTTCGGTAAATATTTCGGCGCGATTGTTTCAAGAATTTATCGTAACGATTGTTCGAATGAAAATTCGTTGGAATGACGCCCAGCTCTGTGGCAACGTAATCGTGTGCCAGCGATTTCACGGCTCGCGCATAACGCTTTATCGCCGCGGACTAATCGCGGCTGCAACGGGATAAAAGAAACCGAGAGCAGGAAAGATTTCACGCGAGCATGTGATCCGATCGCGTGCAGCTGCCTGGAAAGTGAAAGTGAAGATGCCTTCGGGACGTTCTCATCAAGCGCGGTGGATCCACTCGTCGGGGGGATCAACTTTTGCCGACCTGCATTCGATTTCTAACGAGCCGCGTTGAATAAATCACCGCGAGTCGCTCGTACGCCGCGGACGTTGATCTATATGAGCTACCGAGATCGTCTCAACAAAAGGCTAATTAATGTTTCGCGCGTAGAATCAGCTGGTTAGATAATCGCCCGAACGGAGCTGATAGAGAAATCACGTGGAATCTCTTACAACGCGTCTCTATGAATTATCGCGCGGAAACATCGCGTGAAATCGAACGAGCGTTGCGTCACGGCACCGTGGAACACGAGATAAATAGAAAAACGAGAAATTACGATAATTGTTCGGTGTTTCGATCCTCCGTGGACACCAGCTTTAAAGCATTCGCGTGATTTTCTACCGAGGAGTTAAACAAAATCAATCTGGTCAGGATGCTTGAATTTTAATGTGAATATAAGTTCTGTAACAGAGTTTCCTTCTTGTGGATTTTTAAAAAACCTTAATTTTATGCACTTCTTTTGTGCATGCAAATATGAACAAAAAAGAAAAAATAAATAAAATTATAGTTGTAATATATTATTGGAATGTCGAAGATATTACTTGAATTTTTTCAGAATTTTTAAAAAACTTTTAAAAAAAAATTCTTAAATATCAGTACTCAAAATGTAAATCAAATGCAATGGTCTGTAGTCGATTAAAAAAATTTTACATTAAATTCTCATCATTGTCATTTTTATAATAACCGTGTAAAATTTTAATTTCTATTTTAATATCAAAGAGAACTTGTACTTCAAGTTGACTCGAGTAGAAACTATACTAATCATGTCTTTTTTATCAAATTAGTTCAAACAAAGTACCATTGAATAAACGTAAATATCGCTTTCGAAACAAAATTGAATGCTGTGAATATTTATGAAAACTCTGCATTTAAAAATGTCGTATCGAGAAACAGTTCGGAGGCTTTAGTTACGCTGAAACTCTTGCGAAAGTAGCAGGCGGCAGGCAGCAGTCTCTGCGTGAAACCTGCAGCCGTCAAAGTGTTAAGTGGTGTATTCTTTACTTAGCCATCCGTTTTATTATTCCATTTGGTCTTGTTGTTCCGTATCAACCGAGTCTCGCTAACTTTCGTCTTTCAATATTCCTACGGAATTCAGCAAACGCACCGGGGATCGCAAATTTCCAGAATATTTGCCCTACGGTACAAAAATGCAAAATTGCAATTAACTCGTTTTATATCTGCAATTTTTTTCTCTCGGATAAATTCGACGAACTCTTGGATTCGAGGATGAACCTTGAGTCGAGGACGAAACTGCATCGTAACGGTAGATTTACGAGTGGAATTTACGTTTATAGTTCGGTGTCATGGAGGCGACTAATTAGACAGCAATTTTCTAACTTTATCTGCGTGTTTATCAGATTCATAGCCTTTACGAGTTTACAACTTCCACGACCACCTGTTGGAGGCGAATATGTTTTATGATTAACCAATTCCCGTTTCCAGCAGTCTGCCTGTTTTGTTAACGGTTTATAATCTGCAATTTCATTTTTGGCTAGTTGATAATGATGCATAATTGTTTACGGTAAAATAAACCGAATTTTTGTAAAATTATACATTACTCTATCAGCAGGAATGAAGCTTCACTATTATTGAACATTCTTCACACTAGAATTTAAAAATATATCTCTAAATACGGAAAACTGTCATGGCGGCCAGGTCGTAGTATACGAATGGAACAAACCTAATATTCTGGGGTTTGTGTCCCAAATTAAAAATGATTTTCAAAACACTGTTCCCTTAAATTGCTACTTCAGTAGAAGCTCCAAACTCGGAATAAATTTCATAATTTGTTCGATCTATTGATAGTATTCTAAAATTAAAATTCTCAGTTGTATCAGAAATTAAAAATGATTTCTGCTTCGAAAGAAGTAAACTCAGAATAAATTTTCTAATTTGTTAAAAACTAAAATTCTGGAATATACAGTCGCGTGACAAATTGAAAATGATTTTCAAGACATCGTTTCGGTTAAGTTAAGAATGGAAAATTGTATGATGGAGACTTACTTCGGAGGGGTTGGTGAGCGCCGTCTTCAGGATCGTCCCATTAACTAGGTGACCCGAATGCGCGGGGTGACTCGGATGACTGGGGGTAGGTTGTGAGTTGAGCGGGTCGCCCGACGAAATTTTGTGATGATGAAGGAAACCACCAGCCAGCTGAGCGTGTTGCTGTTGGCTGTGGTGAGCTGCCGCAGCCGCGGCCATGTGCTTGTCCAGCATCGTCGAGCCCATGGTGCCTTTGCTTCCACCCAGGGATCCCGACCCGTTCACACCGCCAACGTTACCGCCGCCACCCATGCCACCCATATTCCCACCCACTCCGCTGGTTTTGTTACTCTTCTTGTGCTTTTTGTATTTCACCTGCAAAAACAAATCATCGTCCATCAACCAAGGACTAAGAATTAAAATTCTTCTCTGGCTACCAATAGTCTCAATCTGGACTCCATAGACCCCAAACTTCATCTTAAACGATATCCTGAATCAAATGCAACAAAATGAAGTATTTATACCCACCTTGTAAAGGTTATACACAGCACCAGAATTTCTCCCGCCAGGCATTCGATCTTCTCGAACCGCCTGAAGGACCATACCCTGTTCAATGCACTTTTTGAAACGACAGTACTGACACCTGTTCCTCTGGGCTTTCGTGATTTCGCAGCCGCCTTCCGCCACGCACGAGTACACCCGCCTGTTTTGTACAGTTCTCTTGAAGAACCCTTTACACCTGCGCACAAAACAATCCGCTCTGTCACAAGCCCCCCAAAACACCAAATCTCCGCATAAAAATTTTATACAGAAAATAAAACGCTTCAAAAGTATCGAACGATCCTTAAATATTGATCAAAGGTTCGAAAAGTTTAACGTTGAATCAAAAATATTTTCGTGTGCCCCCCCCCACAAAACATTCCAACGACCTTTTGTGTATTAATATTCGAGAGTCCCTCGATATTTTCGAAGTTATAAAATTGGAATTATCTTTGACTGGCGGTTGACCTTTTCGCAAACTTTTCGCGACACGCTTCGATCTATTCGCGAACCCGTGGCTTTTCAATCGGGACAGAAATTACGTCTCGTGTTCAGTTGTTACGTGTTTTTTTTTTTTAGTTCGAATCAACTTTCGAAGTTCCCCGTTCCTCGGGGGAATGCCCTGATACTTTGACCTAGAAACGGATTAAAGATTCATACGCGACGAATTACGGTTATACCGGGGATGCATCGGGGAACTCGTGGACTTTTCCAAAGTAATTTGTCGGGTTCGTACGACGCGACAATAGACGGAGTAAACGAGCGAGAAGAAACCGAGTAACGATACCCTGTAGTAACTTTAGAGGCTAATCAACCGCCTTGCAGAATGTATTAGAATGGGGAGCACCTTGAATATGGCCTTCCCCTTATTTCGATTTTTATTCAAAACTGAAGCAACACTCGCCCAACACAAAAATTAAAGAAAGCAAGTTTGATTGATAGCAAGTATATTAGCAGGAGAAGCTTCCTCGAGATAGACGATTATGATTGAGCTAATCTAAGAAGTAAATAAGAAAACTCGTCACGAAATGGCAAAGGATGAAGAACTCGATGGAACATTATTTCTATAAGAGGAAACACAACTATCGCCTTCGACTGGTCGTAAGTTTCACAGAAATGAGTAGACCAAGAAGGATTAAAATATTACTACCATAGAAACATAGTTAAAACTTTCATCGAGGGAAAGGTGCATGAACTTCGAAGCTTCGATTCCAGATTTCTATTCCTATCGAAGAAATCACGTTTCGCAGGGTCGACGATTACGATCGTGATCGTCCCATGGAATACACAAGCACGAGGAAATAAGAAAACGGGGAATCGTGTCACGAAAAGGCAATGGATGAAGAACTCGATGGGCGCAGACCATTGTTTACTACCACGGGAGGCCGTCTATGTATATTCATAATTCAACAGTGACAAGGTATCGTCGAGGAAACACGAAACCCATTGCCGGTGTACTGCGTTCGATGCAGAGACGCACGTGCAAGCTGGGAACAGCCAAAGGTCAGAGTTCGCCTCGAGGCACCCTTAAGGTCGTGACTAGTGTAACCCTAAGTTTCCCTCCGTGGTTCCGTCTAATTATCTCTAATTAAACGGTTTGCTCCAATCTTCAGCGTTCGCCATAGCGTCGACAACAAACGAGGCGTTTGGTGATGTGCTGGTTTGGTACCATATTTATGAACATCTGATTCGATTACTGGGCGTTTATAGAAACTAAGATTCGTGGAGATATACTTTCATATCTATTACAACGATATGGTCTCACTGGGACCACCGAAATATTTTTACTAGTTTCAATACACTGGGAAGAAGACTACCTTAGTCACCTAGTCAACTTATAGGTCTATCAGTTTTGAGATCTTTAATTTTGTCAATAATCTCTTCATCCATGTACTAAATGCGTTAATTCGATAACTTACCCCTCGCACGTGATGATACCGTAGTGCAAACCGGTGGCCTTGTCCTCGCAGATCATACAAATCATGGGCGTCTCGTCCTCCTCGTGCTCCTGAGGCGGCATAGGCGGGGCTGGTGGCGCGACCGACATCGACTGCGACGTCGACTCCGACTTGACCCCTCCGTTCCTCACCCACGTTTGACTGGAACCGGAAGCGGTCAGGTTGAGCGCCTGCATCTGCTGCGCGGCCGGCAGTTGCGTCAGGTCGCCGGCCCACAGCTTCTCCATGTTCAGTGGTGGGCCGGACAGGTAGGAAACCGACGACGGTTTGCCTCTGGACTCCTGTCCGAGGTTCAGGAGCAGCTGGGCAGCCGACTCTTCCGACGAGGAACAGGACGCTGCCGCAGCGGTGGTCGTCCACGACGCCGCCGGCGGTGGCACGGGGTCCAAAGGCGGCGCGGACCATATCATCGTCCTCACGCCGCCGATTTCGCCCATGATCACCGTAGGTGGTGGTCTTGGGGGTGCTGGCGCCGGCCTCTGCGCCGGGGGTTTCATCGTTTCGTCTGGAAACAAATATTCCATCGGTTAGAACAGGTTCAATCCTTGTAATTAAGTTGTAGTTAAGTATCTTCATGACGAAGCATGTTCACGATATTCTTGATCTTTCTTTAACCTCCTATTTGTCGAAGATTGTGAGAAGAATATCGCTGGTTCAATACCTAGGATACTTACTATTAGGGGACAAGGTGATGATCACCTGCAAACTAAACGACGCAAGGGACAGAACCTTCAACCTAACCCAGACCTAACCCTAGACTTTTTAGTTTCTTGGTTATTATTGGATAAGCCACTCACAGACCAAGTCCTTAAAGAAGCTAAGAACTAAAAATCTCAACAGTGGAGGGTGTCTCTAGGTGTCTCTTGGCCTCTTGCGTCGTTTACCTTGTACCAACATCTCCCAATAGCAGATGTCCAGTGAACTCATGTTCGACGAGGAAGAATACCAATAACTCTACAAGTTCACTTACACGATGACACCGTCGTAGTGGGCCCGCTGCTCGCGGAGGTGGCCCCGTTACCGCCGCTGCCCGGACTGCTGCTGAGGCTCGTGCTGCTGCTGGTGGACACGACAGAGACGTTCTGACCGTAGTTCACGGCGCTGCTGATGACCCCGTTGATCAGCTTCTGGGTGGCGAAGCCTTGGACGCCGGCGTTCTGCGACCAAAACTGATGATGGGCGAGAAGGTGAGGGGGCACCGATGGCGCCCTGGGCCTGGGTGGCGTAGGCGGTGTCTGCGGCTGTTGTTGGACGCTGTGCGTGGTGCTCCCGCTGGGACTCATGTTCTGGTTGGAATTGTATTGAGATGACGGGCTGCTCCGGTGACTGGGTTGACTGGAGGTCTCGGAACGACCGCCGCCGCCGCTGCTGCCGCCGCCTCCGCCGTCGAAAACCGAGTTGTCGGACTCCTCCTTGGTCTGGGCGGAGGACAGGTCGCCCTTGTCGGGGCTGTCGCTCCTGGAGGTCGCATCCTGGGGCATCGGAGTCGTGGATACCGTCTGGAGCGGCGAATAAGGCGACGATCTGGTTGGTGCCGGTGTACCGGAACGTTGCTGCTGATGCTGTTGTTGTTGTTGCTGCTGTTGGTGGTGCTGCTGTTGCTGCTGCTGTTGGTGGTGCTGTTGCTGTTGTTGCTGCTGCTGCTGCTGCTGTTGGTGATGCTGTTGCTGCTGCTCTTCGACGACTCTGAAGCCCACCATCGAAGTGGCGTCCGAGAAGACCGAGTCGGGCGACGCACGGTCCGAGCAACCTGTGTCCCGTGCCTCCAAGCCACTCGCCGCGCCACTTCCTCGCAGAGGGTCTCTCCCTGGGCTCGGGATGCCTAGCAGATACTCGCTTTTGACTTTGACCACGGGGCAGCCCGGCGAGCCCGGCATGGTAGCCTCCGGCGACAGGGTCGAGGTGTCGGCCATGCTCTCCCCTGGAGCAGGAAAGTTTATGGGTGAAGGAGCGTCCGCCGGCTGGATCCCGAGCGGCGAGCCTGCTGATCCGAGGGATACCGGGGAGTCTGAGAAATAAGGCGTTGATTGTACGTTTATACTCGATGGAACATTCGGTTATGCGCTTAGCTCAACGCCACGATCGCGGATGAGCCACGATTTGTCCTGACGGGTGTTGTGTGAACATGATTTTTACTGCTGTCTGTTTGATGGTAATGGCGATGGTGGACGATTTGCGAAACGATTTATAGCTTTTACGATTCCTAAGCGTACAGTGGAACACGCTAGAGAAGATCCTTGGCAAGCGAGAGAAAGCTTACACTCTTTCCCCAGATGTCCCCTTCCTTCGATTACGAATTTTGCTGCTTCACAGAGCAGTCGTAACTAAGAGACACGTATTCTTTTAGTCCCCAACTCTTAACCTGTGGAGCACTTATTTTTTAACAATATTATGGCGCCGATTTGCTGGTGCAGGAATCATCAGGACTCGTAGTCGGTCGAACGCTTGCGAGAGAGTCAAGAACACAGCCCTCTGGCGGCGGAGATACTACTTATCGTTAAGGCGGTGTTTTCCAAGATTGGAGGCATAAACCCTCGAAGGAATATCGCGCTACAATTGTGATAGCTTCTGAGGGGGGTAGTAAAAGACTTTCCGAATCGATTTGACGACAGAAACGTCCGCCATTGCAAGCTCAATCTACAGGGACCGTTCCAGCGTCGAACTCACGAAGCGTATAAATTATTGAACGGAAGACGCGCGTCTGTAAATAATTGCCAGCGATCCGAGGACGTTCTAATGGAGATGAACACGTTATTTGCATTCTGTTTTGACACTGCGCGGCGCATTGTTCGTTACCGTTCGCGGGCGATTGGGCAACTAGCGTTTCATCGGGCATTAACAACAATCGTCGCGATTCGTACGCGATTACGTAACTTACGTGGGACGAAATTCTTTTAAACTATATATTCGGTTCAACGATCGCGTAACCGTCTTGAACCCCGATGTTTCGCGTTAATGGGCTTGGTCCTCGGGGGTTTCAGGCGTTATGAAAATGTTATTAATCATTCGCCGGCACGCCGGTGGTCTATCACGATGGTTAATAGTATTTATCGCGCCCCGCTGCCAATCCGCTGTTTTATAACGTTGACAGGCGCGTTTCGAAATTCTTCCTATCCGTTCGAGGATCGAATCGCAGGCATAGTGCATCGATAAACCTTTATCTTCGCGCATTGTCTCTTTCGCCGGGCCTGTTATTACCGCCGTAACGTTTCAGGAACTGACTGATGGCGTACACGATGATTATAGTATCTGGGCCGTGCTATAATTCCAAACGGAAATCGTTCTTTTCCTTATTCGCGTTATTATTGATTTTCTAAAAAACTAAAGCTTGTTTCGTTAGATCGAATCCAAATCAAATAAAAACGCAGATTTTCACGATAAACAGATTGCTCCAATGGTCTACGAAATGGCGTTCGGTTCTAAATCAACGTTTGCTCGCGTAAAGACTGGATGAAACTAAGCAGACCCAACGCGATGCAAAAATTAATCCCGTACGCCTCTCGACGAGTAAAAGTTTCAGCTTCCCAGCAGTTTTACCTGCGAAGGTTGGAAGAGGGCTGCGATCACGTAACTTGCGTGGCTTTAAGATCGTTCAGACACGGATTCCCTCCAGTTTCCACCATTTTATCGCGTCCCCGAGGGTGCTGGAAGCGTCTGAGATCGCACGTGTGCGGTGGATATTTTCGCAGCGAGCGCGAGAGCAATTTACGCGACCGACACGAAAGTGTAATACTCGCTCGGAGTGGCTGGGATCGTGGAAAGGATGTGGGACTATGACTGTTCGTGTAGGTCAAGGAAGGAATGCAGTTGACAAGGCCGAGTTGTGATTGTAGGTACCTAGGTTCCAGTTTCCAAGCTATTAATAGCGCCGATCGCCGTGAATATCGGTTCCCGCGGATTATTTATCGCGTTTTGCACGTTCGACGGTCAAAATTTCGCGGGATGAGGAAAAATGAGGGTTCACAATAATTATTCCCCCCTTTCAATACGTTCTATCTTGATTTAACCTCTGAATTAATTTATTTATCCCACTGAAAGATAGTTTCTCTTCTTCGTCTTTGAGGAGTCGAATTTCAACATACTCTTCGTCAAATATATCAAAAATTTACTCCAATGGCCAATTTCTGTATTTATTTAATTATTTCTATGGCACATGTTCACCAAAATGGATAGAATCGTTTTCTATTAACCCTTTGCACTTCAACAACTAGCAATACCAATTGCAATTTTGTAATATGACACAAAAATTATAAATATAATTTTATTTGTATATTTTCTAAATTCAATTTGTGTTTTCGTAAATGAAATCGTGATATGGTACGATTACGCGAATAATAGAGTGTTGAAATAAGACGAGGATAAGAATTGAAAATGATCGTAACCAGTCACAGAACGGAACTATTAATTACTATTAATTTAATCCATTCTGTGAATTCTTTCTTGGTACATTGTCTTCTTTTTGTCCGTCATTTGATTCCATGTTTCGATATTCCGATCGCGTACAGAGTCGATTAATCGACAACGTCAGCGCCGAATGACGAATCACGATGCGCGATTAACGAGACGATCGCAACGACGATTAATAGGCCGATCAGGAAGATGATCGGTCGCGTCGAAGCGGCGACTCACGGTCATGGATCTTCTGCGCTCCCAGCGTGTGGTAGCGGGTAATTACTACCGGTAAAACGAGGCGACATTGTCTTTTATCCCCAACAGGAAGCAACTCTTCAGTTTCTCTCGCGAATTTTCGAGTCATTCGACATAATTGCGTTGGGGTCTTTCGTGTTCGATAAAATGGAGATTGCAAGCATGAAATAAACAGAGAACAAGGTGGACGATGTCGTGTGTAAATAATGTAGAATTTTTCCTAAAAGGCCCTTCGAGTTTCAACGATTCTTTTGAGCTACGATTCACCTAATAAATATTAACGTTTATTTCGAAATTTATTCAACGGAGACTATTTTGAGGAATTCTGTACTAAGTCTATTCTTATTTATAATGTGCAAAATTTTTGTTGGTACGTTGTTTACCGAATAGCGAGGAGCGACAGTCCTTCGAATCGTAGCAGCAGTATCGACGTTGGAATGTTACGCACGGACATACTGTCAGCTGCGAGCAAACGTAACGATGGAAGTCGAAATAGCTCTGATAAGGCGGCATCGAGTAACAGTTATAGTGACACGGACACGGATAAGGCTGGAGGCTGTCCAGCGGCACCCTTAAGTCCATATTCAACGAGCTCCAATTCCCCATCCAACGGAGATTGTCCAAACACGCGACGTACATGCTGTTTTTCAAGTGAAAATTCATTCTTCCCATGAATTTAAGATCATTGTCATCCTGGTCTAACTCTAACAGGCACTTCAGAAATCGTTGCACACTTTTGTCTTTCAGTCTCTCGTTTTTTAAAAAAGCATTTAGAATTAGCGTTATTAACGAGATTTGTATAAAATTTGTCTGTTCGTAATTAAATTGAGCTCGAGAGTTCGTAAACGTTTCGATGATAGCAAGAATCGCGAAAAATTTATTAAATTAAATGTACGTTTAATTTGTTTATTTGTGTAGCTTTTGTTGCAAATATTTTTATTGTCCATACAGTCTCTTAACGATGATTCTTGATTTCTGATTTTTTTGGAAGTCTATTAAAAGTTTTTCACACAATTTATCACACGAGGGATACAGTCAAGTAGTATGACACATCACTGGTCAGACGTAGCATTTCGTTTCCTTATTGACGTTAGCACTCGATCGAAATTTGAAGGGATTATTGTCGAAGTTCGTCTACAAGTATGTCAAGTGAGATTTTAGATGTAACTAGAGAAGGTTATATCGAAACAAAAACCATAGACAGAAAATAAATTAAATTTTCTTCGTATTTCTTTCAAAGCAAAGTGATTCTGTTTCATGTGTCAAGTGCTTGGCTCTGAATCAAGAACTGAATTATCGAACAGTCTATTCCGATCCGACGAGACGAGCCAGTAAATGTAAACAAACGTGTGTGTACAATAAACGATACAAACGAAATATGTAATATGATCGATAAATAGATATTCAGGAACCAATATAAGATTTCTTATTTCACTTTAAATAAATACTCGACGTTTCTATGAGTACATTGGATATTTCTGATCCATAAAGAAGCATTTGCATTTGCAAAATATTTTGATCTTTCCAAGTCTGTATCAATAAAACACGAGTACAAATCGAAAACTAAATCCACTGTGTTTATAAAAAATAAACAGTTGTTCAAAGTGGCGTCCTTAACATGACGTTTCAATTTCAGGAAGATCGGTGAGGGTGTACCTAAACCTCGAGTTTCGATCTGTTCGAAACCGTGGAAACTTTCAGGATGCTCCAATAATTGTATTTTCAACCACCACGATGGGGATCGAACCATCGTAACACGTTAATTGGCAGACCAAACCCCTTAAATTGTCCATGAAAACCAAACTTTATCTTGAGACACTTGGCAAACCCACGATTTGTCATAAAACTTATTTTTAATTTAAAATTCAAGACTTCTGTCTAGATTTATTTTCCATCCATTCGAGCATTCCATATTGTTTCGTTCGCCAGCGTCACAGTGTTCGAAAAGTATATTTCACTGTTAACATTAATTTTGTTTAATAATTTTTATGTTATTTTATGTTAAATGAAAATTAAATTATTTAATTAAAGAAAAAATCGAATATTATGAAAGTTTCACTGCTGCATAACATTTTGAATTATACAATGTACGTAAATAATGAAGAAAATAATAGAAAATAGGAATAATAAGAATAAGATGCGCTAACTTTAAAGTTATATTGTTAAAAAAGTATTAATACGTATCAATCTGGTAATTTCTGTTCCAAAAGCATATTAAAATTGGTTCTGTTTGATTACCTGTATTTAAAACTATAATAAATTTTGATCAATTGTTTTTATACCAAAATAAAGTGTGTGCTGTGCAAGATTCATAGAGCACAAAATGATCCTAATATCATTATTTCCCAGAAGACAGATTTCTAAGAATAGATTTCAAATGAAGATCCTCGAGAATTTGCAATCTTAACGAGACCTAAAGTAAACTGATTGGAGATGGTGAAAAATTGGACTCTTTTACGTCTAAATCGTCGTTTTCGAACACTGTGCGCCCCTCCGTTCCGTTCGACGCTTTCGTCACCGTGGAATTGCGTCGCAGCACACGCTGCTTCGGTGCATGACGTTGGCCGCGCGTGGCCTCGGAAAGAAAGATCAATGATTCTCGGGGGCAGCCGGCGAGCCTCGATCCCGGAACGCGTGTCCCTCGAAAAAAAAGGCTCATTCATGCCCGCGATGGTTCCGCGTGCGTCGCGCCGCGGCGAGAAATTCCGTCGATGACGCGACGCCGACGGAAACCGCGCTCGTCAGCGTCCCCCCCGTGGGTCCAGTGTCGGCGGTATCATCCGGCAAAACAACGGTCCAGGTTCACCGTCGCCACCATCGATTCGGCTTCCCGCCAACGGCAGTCTCTGACCTTTGCTCGCCAGTAGGTCGAGGGTCATTGGTATCGCTCGTGTTCGTAACCTCTGACCAAAAAATCGATGCAGCCATCGAGCACCCGATGGCTCGAAACCATTGGCGATCCGTCGCAGCGGTTCTCAAACACACGACACGATGCACCACTGGGACCTCGCGAACCACAGGTGGTCCAAAGTTTCCCTATTCGCTCGCCACGGTGCTACTCGGAGGAGGTATCTCCCTAAGTCAAAATGGCTACTGCAGCAGTTGTCTACCGTTTAAGAATCCCTGCCATGTTGGAACGGTGAATCGATCGCTGGGTGGAGAGGTACATTTCGTTGTTTCTGATTTTTGGAAAACACCCGCGCACTCTCGGCGGTGACGCGAAGAAGAGAAGGGTTCAGAGATTTTTCCACGTTGTACGATCTCGCGAGAAATGTATCGTGCTTGATGGGACACGTCTCGCCATGCTTGCACGAGTTCAGACGAAGCCGAACTAAGCACGACGGGTGCACGTCCGGGAAAACCGCGTGGGTTGGATACTCTACCCTGCACCGCTGCCAGCGACCGCCACCCCCTCTTACAGGATCCGTGGCGTCCCCCCCTCGTCCTACGACGACGTCTGAACCACCCCCGCGGTAACCAATCCTATTTAAACGGTGACACGAAACCGAGCCCAAGACACCACGGGGGAGGAACGCATTAGGGTAGAATCAGCGGACCTGTGGCACGTGGGGCGATTTACTATTTTGGATGATAATTTTACTGTCAAAATTTGTCAAAATAAGTTACAACGAACGCGATATTATTTGTATAAAATTTTGAATTCTGTGTGTTTGTGATTTATCTCCGACGAGAAGTACGAGGATTGATCAGTGGAGGTATCCTGTTGTGTCAAATTTTTGTATTTATACTGCTATTACGGTGAGCCTAATTAATATGGTCTAGCTGTTGATTGAAATATAATTCAATTAGTGATTATTTTTATTCTTATAGTGTAAGATGTTCACATCCTCATGGGAAATGTTTAAAACGAGTTTCTTTCTAATTATAAGATTGTTGAGTTTGCTCTTATATTCTTAAAATTATTATGCATAGAATTGTCAAATACGAGGGAGGTATTTAAATATCATTTTGACTCTGACTATAAATAAAGCGTAGGAATTTTATATATTTTATTTTTTGTTAATAAATTGTATTACTACATTACTCATGGATGTGTTTGTTAAAAAACGAAAACGAATTTTTACGAAAAATCGACAATAGGTGCAGACATTTTTGGGCGAAATTAAAAAATTTCAAATCAATCTGAAAAAATTATTTTTAGCTAGGGGGGTCAACTACAATCATTTTTGGTGAAAAGACATACCCCCAAAATCCTACGTACTTTCGAGAAAAAAATTCTTTACCGAAAATTTAATGTCTGACCATATATCACATTTTTCCCTGAAATTTCATGCGAATCTTTAAAACATCATAACTTCTGAACGGAATGGACGATTTTATTGTTTAAAAAGGCAAACGACGCGTATTTTAGTGGAGAATATGTAGAGTTTCTAAGAATATTGGAAAAGTTGTTCCTTGACCCCGTAAACTGAGAAAAACCCCATACAACTACTCAAGTTTTCAAACGACCATAACTCCTAGAATAGTGAATATATTTCAATGAAACTTTTATCTGAAGTAGAGCTCATGAGTACCTACAAAAAAGTATTAGACAACTTTTCTGTAGGGCGTCAAGCAAATTTATTAAAAATGAGAAACTAATTTTTAAGAAAAATCGACAGGGAGTAGGTACCTAAATTTTTCGGCGAAATTAAAAAAATTGAAATCATTCTGGAAAAATTATTTTTAGCTAGGGGGGTCAATTACAACCATTTTTGGTGAATAGACATACCCCCGAAATGTTATCCATTTTCAAGAAAAAAATTCGAAAAGGTACGAAATTTTTCAACAAAATTAAAAAAATTATTTTTACCTAGGGGGGGCAAATACAACCATTTTTGGTGAATAGACATACCCCCGAAATCTTACCCATTTTCAAGAAAAAAATTCGAGAAGGTACGAAATTTTTCGACAAAATTAAAATATTTGAAATCATTCTAAAAAAATTATTTTCGGTTGTGGGGGTCAAGTATAATCATTTTTGGTGAATACACATACCCCCGAAATTCTATGCATTTTCGAGAAAAAAATTTAGGAATGTGCCTAAATTTTTCGACGAAAAAAAAATTTCGAATCGTTCTAAAAAAATTATTTTCGGTTGTGGGGGTCAGTTACAAACATTGTTGGTGGATACACATACCCCCGAAATTCTGCGCATTTCTGAGAAAAAAATTTTTTACCGAAAATATAATGTGTGGCCAAAAATAAAAAAATTGGCCTATCATTGGCCAACAGGAAACTTAGTGGACAGGTACTAGAGTGGGGGATGTCAACACAGCCTGGCCTTCTTTCCACGAAAGCACACTACAATACTATTTACAATCAAAGTGATTATTGGATACCTCCCTCACATGTGACAATTTTATACTAAAACATAAGAGGTCCCAATTGAATATTAACTCTATCTGTTTCATAGACAATATTACCAACGAACGAGACACTATGTTCTAATTGTTTACTTCGCATAAATATCAAGAAAATTAGATACCTTCGTGGTAAGGTTGCACGTCCCATGCAGAAGAACAGATACGAATTTATCGTAACCGTTATGTAAATAAACCGTGATCTATTTTATTGCAAAAGGCGTAGAACTAGATATAATTGGAGTAGATTCAAGAATTTTACCCGCGTAGATGCGCGTCGGTTAGACATAATAAATTCGCACGCGAGCAGTCGGGTTCTAAAAGCTGTGCTTGTATAATGACACGCTCTCGAGCGTTTATGGTTTTCAAAGCGGAACAGATGAAGTATGATTGATGTTATAAACGCGCCTCGTATACGATGTACAGCGTAATATACGCAGGTTATGAAAATCGGGGCAATAAGGGTATCAAATATGGCATTATGGGCGGCAACTAATCATTATAGTTGCGCTGACCACTTTCATGACTCGTTCTGGGTATTCTGAATAAGAAAAGATTGCCCATATGCTGTGCGCTCCCGGCCAGACAATGATATACGATCCTTCTCAAAGACATGATTACGCCTGGGCTGTTGAAACCTCGATACGCATTGTTTCGCTTGTTTCAAAATTAATGATTCTTTTACACGAGACTTGGACAATTAAAGATTTACGATCCGACTTTACGAGCACCGGTGATACACGATTTTTTTCACCGGTTAAACACCGCTTTCCCAGTATTACTGAAGTAAATATTTGTTAACAATATCGAGTCGATCATTTCAGGGAAAATTTTAGACAGAATCCATTATAATCAACGTTGTTACTTTTACAGTGCACATTGATCGTAACGAATTCTGTGTACAATTTTAAATTAATATACATGTAATCCTCCTGTAACACGGTTAATTGGTTTTGATTAAAATTGGAGGAAGTCCATTTAAATCCAATGTTTCGACTTACATTTTTTGGTTTTTATATATCAACGAGAGAACAGTGTTACATGTTTATTATGCAACGTTAAAAAGAGATGCGTTATGGGAGGATTACCTGTTACCTAAACACGATAATAACGCTTTTAAACGCGAGTGTGAAGTTTGATTTCAGAGGTTCGTTATATAAAAATTTATCCATCGTCGAGTAATGAGTAATGACAGATGTGTACATCGAGGTTTTGCGACGCGTTGACGAGGGGGATACCGAATTTTGTTTTAATAAAAGAGGAACGAAATGGCGCCTTACCGTCACTACTACATCGGGAGTCGACCTTTCTCCTTTTCAACTTGAGGTCTTGAAACAAGCTCATGTTGTCTAGCTCACACGGGCTGCTCGTAAGGGTCATAATTCCTGGAAAAAACAAAATGTTACGCAACGATTAGTTTCGTTCGATCGATCGTGACCGAAACGCGCTATTTCAATAGGCAAGTTTCACATGGGGGGGGGGGGCAAGAAAAACTATTTGCTAATAAATAATTGATCCTAATTCACGATGTTCGCGAGATCCTGGGGATCAAACCCGCGATTGGTACGTCTCGTCGGTGTCTGCCACGAAAAGCGTCTTCATTAATCACGGAACGTCCAGTCACGTTCTTTTCGCGCTATAGTGCACGTACAAACAGTCAAGCGTTCGCGGAGAATTACATTTTCAGACCTGGATAAAAACATACTTTGTTCGAACAACGATCACGTTTCTACCAAAGCTGTGTCTTTTAAAGTTATCAAAATTGTATGGTCTTTTTATAGTTCGTTTTTCATTTACGAGGGTTCAGACGGGAGAAATCTCACAGAAGCAACGACTGAGACTTGGCGTCGCGACGAAGAATTGAAAACTAACGTTAAAAAATGTATTCAGAGCATGCCAAGAAAGATACGAGCCGCCATTCACGCCAATGGAGGTCCTCGTAAATAGCAATACATAGTCCCAAAGTATTTGATCTCTGTTCTTTTCTGGTACAACCAATACATCAAGTTTTTATCCAAACAATATGTGACAAACTTCATATATATATGTGCAATTTTAGTATGTGTGGTTTAAAAATTGATCAAATAAAAAAAGTAAATAGTCTGTGATCCTCGAGCTGGTTAACTACAATTTTACGATAGAAACGAAGAGTTATTTAAATAGCTGTTGAATGAAGTGTTTTGTCACGAATAAAAATTTGGGAGTCTCTGGCGTATTCGATGAATGTTTTTTCGACGCATGAGGTGTCAGGATCGTAGGTTTGCAAGACGTTTCGCGGATAGTGCTCCAAGTCATCATGCTCGGGCCGAGGATATCGGCTATCGCAAAGAGAACGGACTGAATGTGAAAGTACGTGTGTCGGACGCACGCGTTCGCGATTACGGCGAACGCATAGTTCACCATTAACCCCTCTTTAGCCAATAGCATACAATTGGATCGTTGCATGGCAGTATCTTTCAGCGGTGCAACGAATAGAACCATGCGATTCGATGCACATCACCGTGTCACGATCGTGTGCAAGAGCCTCACGGAATCTTCCTGTTCCTCAGCCAATAATCCGCGATACAATCCAGCGAAACAACGTTCCCCAAAATGGCGGGATCTGGCCCCCTCAAAAAAGGGAGGAAACTTGTGATTCAAACAAAAAAAAATATCTTGAAAATACGATCTATAAACGTAGTTTGAATCTTTCGAATCATGCACTTGGACGTTCAGGTGAATTTGATTATTATTATTTAACTATAATATTACGTTTCATCACTTTTCATTTTAGGAACTAAAATAATTCTCAAGCTGAAACTTTAAAGGAAATAAATTTGAATTTAATGAAATACTAAGAAAAATTTTAATCAATATAGTTTAGGATCGTTAAAGATCAAAGTCTAGGTCTACCAATCGACGTATGAACAACAAAGTTTGCCAAAGAATAATGCTTGCACCGAGTCTCGTAATAAATTCTGAAATCACAATTAGTTCCCAACAGTCAGGGAAGAATGTTTCGATAAAAGGAGGGGTACAAGGACACGTTACGTTCGAATAACAGAAAGTGTTCGTACGAAGAAAGTTGTATCGTCGTAAAGAGGCGTTGTCCACGAGCTATTCTCATCCTCCGAATTTTACGAGTCGACGTTGGACGAGAGACTGAGAGTCGTGTCTGCGACGTTTGTTGCACCAGGTCAGTTTAATAATACCCGTCCACTCATCTGGGTGTTCTGATAATGATAAATCGCGTCTTATCGCGCGCTGGCGGCCTCGCCGTAATTAATAGCGAAGTAAGATAGAAGACAGGAACGGTTTAACGATCGTCGCGAGAGAAACGGTCTATGACACACCATGGGTCGTTTTAATAAACGCGATGTCGCGGATAATACGGGCCAATCGTCCGCGATCTCTCGAATGCAACTATATTTGCATCCCGTGGCAAGTTTGATTCCGCACTTGCTCGAGACACTGTTGCACAGGCTACTGGAGGCATGATCGATGGACTTAATTCACCGAGTTGCGTTCCGTTGGGTCGGGAAAAATGTCAGGAAAGTTTCGAAATGTTAAACTGCCCGGACCTTTCGCGTATTCCTCAGAATTTCCAGGCCAATTTTTCCCGGGGCGACATTTTTTCGTCACCCGGTTCGAGGTCAGAAAGTGGAAAACCTGATAGATCATTAAAAACAACGATAAATTGAATTACAATCTTAAATTTATTTGCAAACGCTCAAAATTAAATGTTTAATGTATCGTTTGCCTCGGTACCAGTTGTTTAAAACGAGTTTTAAAAGTTCGAGCACGAGATCAGCCTTCGAATCACCCTAGATGCGATTCGCCCTCAACTTTGCGGAATTCCAAATTTAAAGGCTACCATCTGACACTAATCGATCGTGGACATTGGCTTGCTACCAACCAGAGTCTTTCTGCGCTCAAGTTTAAGTAAATATTTGCAAATCGTAAAATCGTGGCGGAACTTTCTCTTCATCCACGGCTACCGATGTTAAGTAATCTCTCTTCTGTTCCTGTTTCATCATGCCTCACGTCGAATACTTATCGCAGAACTTAATAGTTTCCTTGCTAGATCGTATCTTACAGTTTCGTTTTAAAAATTCACAATTTTCAACCCCTCCTTTGCATACGAGGCCTCGATTTCTGCATAGAAATATTTCATATTTTATTTTATACACAAAGTTTAAATTTCTCTTTTAAAAAATTGCAAACAATTCGTACAGAAAGTTTCTATTTTACAACTATTTCGAAACTATTTTTTTTACTAAACGAGCATTCTATATTATATTATTTCGTTTTAATCAGAGTTTCTATATCTTCTCGCAGACACGGTTTGTAATTTTACTTTACGCGTATAGTTTCTATTTTTCCAAGCAAACTTCGTGTTTTATTATTTTCTTCCGCGTACTAAGTGCTGTACTCGAGAAAGTACAGAAATAAATGAGTCACGAGCAAACTCGCGCCTGGATCGGACGCCCAAGTTGCACCTAATCGCGTTCTGCCTAGATAACGCTGTTGCTCGAGGGTGCAGCAACTTTGCGCGAGGAAAAATCAGGCCCTCAGTTGGCTTTACAAGACAAACACGAGTGCTGGATAAATTGCAGTCATAGTTTACATTCTTGCTGTGAAAATATTTACGTAAACTGTCCATCTCATACACGGTTGCTATGGGGGTTAGGACTACGGGACGAATGCTTCCGTATTTGAGCGCGAACATTTAAATTGTGGGGTCCATCGTTTTTCGTACTCGCCGCCAGAGGGACCGTTCCTCTCACAAGCACTCGATTATATCCAGGCGTTTAAGGCAGGGTCTGCTAGGACCCCCAAATGAAACATTCAAATATAGATTTAGTGTAATATTGAACGCTGTTTCGACTACTAATGTTAATATATAATATATGATATTCGAATATTAGTTGATTCGCTGTTTTATTCGCGTTGTGAATGGCGCCTAAGCCGGCAACGGTAGCCACGTGGGCGAGCGTGTGTGCGTCGGTGATCGCGCGCGACGCCAGATGGCGGTATAGGTGCACCGTCCCACGAACGGTGCGCATCCACGGGACACGGTTGCGCGCGCATACGCACACCCGTGCTCGCGAGGCGGCACTGACGCGAGTGTACGTGGTGCAGCGGGGTCCTTGCTCCCTGGCGTATGTGGGTCAGCAGTCTCACACACACCACCGTTCTTGCGTAACCAATGCATGCACACGACCGGGAGAGCTGCCGACGTTGCACATGCACACACCGAGACGGAAAGTGCAGCCAATGCACTAACCTACGGTCTCTTCTTGAGAGGCCGACTGCTCCGACGATCTCGTTGTGTGTACACGCGCGCGTGCTTGCGCGTCCACGGCTCCGGTGTCGGGGCTCAAAGCCGCGCGCACAAGCCCCCGGCTATCTCGGCCAAGCTTTTTCGAGGTTCACCCCTCCGATACCCGGTTGGTATTTGCTTCATTAAACGCAACGTTGTTGCAAGGAGGAAGAGGAATCGCGGTGCTTCTAGATCCCTCCTTTTTCGACGGCGTTCCGTTCCTGTCCCCCCTCCCCTCTCCCATGCTCGATCTATCCATCCCCACCCCTTTGTTCCTCGCGTGGCTCCGTGTTTCTAATTGAACGTCGGACGTCGCTCGATAATTGTCAGGTTGTGTAACGCGTTATTACCACGTTTTAGGTGCGTTACGCGGCCGACGCCGCCTATACCAGCGCGAGATTAACCGATGAATTTGTACAGCTGTCTGGCACCCGAGGAACTGATGTACAACTATTTGTACGCGGAACGAAACGGTTTCGGGATGCTGCGCGGTTAAGATGCGCGATAGGTTACATTTACTTTCGTTCGCGTTGAATTAATTTCGCGACTCGTTCGGCGCCGATGGACGAATTATGAAAGAAAATTTGAGGGTTGTACTGTTTTTATTTCGGTAATCGATGGAACGAAATAAACGCGACGTTTCGTATACGCTTACATAACAAAATGAAAGGTTAGAGACTTTGTTTTATATAATAGGAGAGCAGAATGATCGTCGATCGGTATTACTTTCGGCAGGTTGCATCATACTCGCATAAATATTTTCCTTCTCGTCGTACAAACAATGCAATTATTTTCGCCAGTCTATTTCCGCGCGGTATGATAATCATCGAATCAGGAAGCGCGTTTGCGTAATTCGAGTCCCGAGCGAAATGCATTTAATAACCGATTAATTACGTACAAATTCTAGGTATCTGAATTCGAGTCACGAAACGATATTATTCGAAACGAGGAACACTTTTTAATCGCTAGGAGTCGTACTCGAATTTTAATTGAGAAGAAAGTACGCGTTATTAAAAAAACTTGAATTACTTAGTTATTCGAAATTCTAGGTGTTCCTAACGATCGAATTAGTTAATTATTGTT